CGGTGTCGTTTCCGACAAAGTCTCTTGATCATTAGTATTAGGCCTGTTATTCCTGAAAAGTTGAGATCTGGTTGTCGCTACCGTTAATAGAATGGCGGAGCTATTATTCGTAGGTTCTACACTACAATAAGCATTTGGTTCGTTCTGTACATAGTCCACGGTGCCCAGGCTGGCGATCGCGAGCCTATCGTCGCCGTCGCTACACCGCGCCGGTGGCTGCCTCTGATTCTTTCGTTCGTCCTCCAGCAGCGACACCTCCAGCTCGATCTGCTGCTTCTGCAAGTCCTGCAGTATCATAATCTGCCGATTCAGGTCCTCCTTAGACGGGGTGCTAGCCTCCAGGCATCTCATCACCATCATCCGCTGACGCGCGATTCTTTGGTTCAGTCTCTTCATCGCCGGATTCTGTTGTATCGGCGACTCCAACGAGTCCTGGAGGACGCTCTCCGTGATCACGGGGGTCACCGTCGGCGAGCTGCTCTTCTTCTTCTTCATCATCTTCTTCTCCTCCTCCTCCTCCTCGTCGCTCGTCGTCGTCGTCGTCGTCTCCGTGGTGAACGAGGAAGAGGCTTTATCGGCGTTCGTTATTGTCCTGTCTTCGTTCCCCGCCTCCGTCGATCTACGCTCGCGCGTCAGATCGTCCTCTCCGCTCTCCTGTTCGTGTTCCTGCGAGTTTTTCTTGGCGAAGTCATTCGTCGTGTTGGCGTCCACGAAGGCCACCGGAGGATCCGGGGAATCAGCCGCCGCAGTGTGAAACGTCTCCATGGTCTCGACGGAGCTCGGCACGCTCTGCGGCAGCAGACTGAGGGCCGAGGCGATCTGCAGCTTCCGATTGTTCGCGTCCTGGAAGGACTTCATTTCGCAGCTGGACGCGGTCTCGTCGCCACTCGACGACCGATCGCCCGGTGACGCCGGCAGCGCGCGTTTCAGGTTCAACGAGAGACTCTGCTTCCGCCGTAGGATCTCCTGCATCTGCTCCTGCGTCCGCTTCGGCAGGGCCAGCTTCTTGTCAGACGCTTCTTCGTCGGCCGACTGAAAATCGTCAAGTGAAGTCTGGAGCGAGCGATGAGTCCGCTCGCTGATCGAAATGGACATTGCAGCAGGATATCCCTTTGCTTTTCGTCTAATATCCAGGCTCGAAATCGCGCGCGCACACACGTAACAAAGGCAAACAAGCGCGGAATAGAACGGGATCTCGCGAAATAGAATCTCGTATGCGCGGAGATTCGCTTTGTTCGTCGTTACATCATAATTCAGAAGCTGGGTTCTCCGATTATTACATCGCTCGAATCTACGTCGCGCGACAATTTCCATTCTCGTCAGCGTCAATTTCGCGTTACATACTTCTAAGTGGTACATATGCTTCTGCCTTTTGGCGATCTCCATCAGCTCCTCCTCCATCTTATCCACCTTGCTCTGGTGCTCATTTAACGACTTCACCTTGCTCTGCAGCTCGCTCTCCAAGGCAACCAGCTCCTTCTTCTATTCGACAGATCATTTCTCGTTAGTAGGGGAAAGAAGCGGAGAACGAATGGGGCTGTCCGATTCACTTACGTGATGGTTCACTAGCTCCCTCACGCTATCGATGCACTTCTCGTCGTTCAGGCTGGACCACGACTCAGGCAGACTGCTATCACTTCCGGCGCCGTTATCCGTCTGAAATGCACATCACGCTTCATTCCCCGCAAACAACGTGTACGTCGCGAGACGGAACGCTCGTTTTTTCTCAAAAGATAATCGCGCGACCCAGCCAGTCCTCTTTCGAGAGACAGCACTTTGCACTCCGCTCCGTTCCATCGTTAAAAAAAAAAAGGAAAGAAAAACCGTGAAAAAAAACGAAGAAAGAAAAAAAGAAGGCGTCAATTATGCGGACGTGGTGCGAGCGTGCGTGCGTGCTACGAACAAGAACTCAAAGAAAGAAAGTCGGCTCCTCGCTCTGTGAGACCGCAGGTTCCTTACCTTCTCCCAATGTTGGTGAAAATTTTGCGCGCGTTCGTGACTGTTCATGATCTCTTGCAGCTGTCGATGTTTGGACTGCAATGTCGTGCGCAGAGAGGCGATTTCCCTACACATATTTTCTACCTGGTACCACACACATACACCGAGGCGTTAACAAAAAAAGAATTCAAAATCAAACATAAGAAGTCGAAGTCTCGGTATGAGGTAATAATCGTGCACGTCGCGCGAAACGAAAGAGACAAATCAAAGCCGCGTCGCGAAATCAAAAACGGTCGTCGGACTTTCCGGTCTCGCTACGAAGCGTATCTACGAAGATAAAGAATCAGTGACAATCTGATCTACCAATGTGTGTTCCGTGCGCTCTTCTCGAGATGTAAGTACGATTAAAAAAAAAAGCGAGTCGCCACGGATAGCAAATTTGACGACAGCGTGTGTACACGAACGCATATAATACATGTGACATGTTTATTCTACGCCGCGCTTCCAGTAACGAAAAAAGCTCGAATGGTCGACGGAAATTAATAGATGTATAAATCAGGAAATAAATAAACGAACAAATCGAACAAGCAGCGCTTACAGTTCTTCGCGTTACCTTCAGTGAGATAGAGAGAGAAAGCGGACAAAACTTTCCCGCTGCTCTAACGTTAACACTCGGAATAATAGTTGCACATGCGAACGGGTCGTCGCGAGGTGGACGACGGTTAAAACGAGATATTGGGTTTGTTAATCGGGAGCGTTAAGTCGATCGAGTGCGTGACTCTTAATTAAAAGAGATTACTGTGAGAAACAACGGTAAAGAAACACAGAGTGCGTGCGACAATATTTCGTGGAGGATCAAACGCCAATTTTCGTATGAAAAATTTATTAATCAACAATATATTGTATGTATATATATAGATGTGTGTGTGTGTGTGTATATATAACAATAATTATTTCCTTTGTATTATTTCTCGCATAACAAACCCATAGACGTTTTCTATACAAACAAGCCCAGATATGTACATACTTCATTCTTAACATTCTCAGCTAAGGTACTTAATACATAACATTCCAAGGAATGCCATCTGTCCGGCAATATCTCCTCAGCACTAGCACACTTTTTTCCTTCTATTTCTCGTTTGTGAGTCGGCGTTAAATCTTATTACTGATACACGCTGAGCACGCGTGAGCGCGTGCAATTCGTTAACATAGAATGACCTGTGGTAAACGGCAAGTATTAAACGTGTTAATCGTATGTAGGCGCAATATTATCGAAGATTCCCGACCGCGGAATCGAGAGACGGGATCTCGGGATCTCATCTCGGTAAACAGCGAACGCGCGACATTCGTCGCGCAGAAGTGGCGAATTTGCACAGAGTTTATGGGGAATTACACACACTGACGAGACACCGGCAAATGTTACCGCAATGGTGTATCCTGATCGCCAAGACAACGAAAGAGATACAAAAGCTCTAACGGTAATACAACCGGTGAGAACAAATAAGACCAACCGGCAAAACGAGAGCCGTCACTAGATGGTAGGCGTGAAATTTTTAATCTTAGCGAGAGGACAAAATCGTCCGACGATGTAACGCACGCGCCGGTCTCTTTTTCCCAGACTTACAACGTACTACTCAGTGCTACTTCGTAACACGCTTTTCACGTCAACCGACCTTCTAAACCGTAACCAATATCCGTGTTAATTAATCCCCCGGCCACCCTTATTTAAGACATACCCACCGGACCTTATAGAAATCTAACGAAGATTCTCACAAAATCGCATCGTTCGACGCAGCCTCTACTCTCGAGATGCCGTTAAAGTTCGGACACTTGCGAACCGCTTGTCTCTCGCAAAATCGATTCTGTCTCACAGAAACACGCGAAAGACTAGACGAGACGAACGAACGAACGAACGAACAAGATTCCTCGGCCGATCACACGCGCGCGTGGAGATCACATGTTCAACGGACAAACGTGCGAGTAGATGATGATGTTGCCAGACAAGCAAATAAGGACACCGAGAGCGACAAGGACGAGGTAGAATTGGTACTTGATCGAGATTACATTCAAGTCCGGAGACGGCGCATCCGAGTCACTTACTTGCGTCATTTCGTCCCGCCGCTCTTGCTCTAGGTGATGCCGTCGCGTGCGCAGATCCCGTTGCCGCGACTCCAGGCTCGCGATCGCATCCGCCCATTCTTTCCATTGAGCACCCCATTCGCGCTCCAGCTCGCGCTGTGCTCCTTCGAGCGCCTCTCGCCGGGCGGCCCATCGCTCCTCGCGCTCCTCTTGTTCCCTCTGTGAAAACGTTCGCGGTTAGTTACTCTCGAAACTTCCCTCCAACGAACATCAATATCAGACCGTTGAGAGACTCTTGAGGATTTTCGCGTGGTGTCATTGTGTCGATCTTTCGTAAGTGTCTACATTGTTGGTTTGCTGAAGCGCTGGCTGTATCCATTAGAACAAATTACGGGCCATTCAACAATTACGTCATGCGAAATTTGAGTATTTGTTACACCCCTCCCCCCTACACATTATGTTACTAGATTTTTTCAGATCCAGCGTGGCCTTTATTCCCCCCGTCATTACAGCCGTCACGCAAGCTAACAGACTCCCCTCTCGTGGTATGACGTAATAGTTAAGTAACTTCTTAATATAGCATACTTCAGCTATATGATAACTCCTGACTAATTATAAATTACCGGGAAAACTGAACGTTCGTAACGTAGTAATAGCTCAACGCTTCTGGGAAGTATTATTAAATATAGTACTTGATGGTTGTAACAAGAACCAAGAGAGAAGCAACCGCGATATTTTACGAACCTTAAAGTCCTCCTTCTCTTTGATAAGAGCGGCCTTCTGCTGCTCCAGCTCCTCGACCGCCCTGAGGTCCTCGCTCGAGTTCAAAAGATTATCGCTGGAGGATGAGGCGTGCAGGTCGGAGATGCTCCAGCTCAGAAGCGAGAGTCTCGATAGATTAACGACCGTCGACTGGAGATTGCCGTTGCCCGAGCCACCCTCCTTCCGCAGCTTCGCCGCCTCGGCCGGATCGTTGTAACGGAACATGTTATTTCTGCCCAAGAGAATGATGCAGCCCTGCGATAATCGCGTCGGCTTGTCCACTTGGGCGGTGTTGATCCAGCAGTGAGGCGAAAGCGGATGCAGCGTCGCCACGCCACTATCCAGCTCGACGACGCAGTGTTCCGGTTCTACGTCCGCGCCAGTCAACACGATATCCTGTTGGTTACGACGCAACGCGTTAAGCCTCTTTGATCTGTTCGATCTCAACTCGTTCAAGCCCGCTTTAGACGATCTCCACAATTTGCAAAAACATCGTAATATAGACAACATTCGCAAATGTTTCCTGTGTTACCTTCGTCTTCTAATATGTATTCTCTAGTATCATTACCTGGACAGTGGGAGCTTCCTCCGTGCCGACCAAGGTTTTGCCCTCTTTCAGATGGTACAAGGTGACGCCGGTGCTGAGGAGATTGTCGTCGATGCCAACCAGATGCGGCATCTCCGAGTCGAGAACAACGCCGACGCCGCTCTTCCGCAGTCCCAGCGCTTTCTGCTCCTGCAGAATCTGTTGCGTCTCTCGCCACTTCTCGGTCCACTCCTCGGTGAGCACCTTCTCTTGTTCTTGCTTCTCGTAGATTTGATCTAATAATACCTGCGGCGGCTTCTCCACGTTCTGTACGTGAACAAGCGAACGAATAGATATACCTCTCCGAATATTAATGAAAAAAGTCGGTGAGAACAACGTTCGGAGACATTCGAATACTTGCCATGTCCTTGCCAATGAGGGACTTCAGTTTCTGTATCTCCTCCCTGAGCTCCCTGATAAGTTTCACATTCGGATCTTCGTTGATGGTCGGCTTATTGATAATATTCTTCGCGCGATTGGCGTACCTAAGAGTGCTCAGAGTCTCCCCATAATTGCAGTCCGCCGGGCTAATCGCCGCTATCATGATGGTCTTCGAATTGCCACCCAGGGAGTCCTTCAGCAGCCACGTGAGCACGCTGTCCCGGTAAGGAATGAAGACGTTCCGTTTCGTAGTGGACGACGCGTCGCTGTTCGAACTCAATTCGGACAGTGCGGATATCACAGAGCCTAAAGTCACCAGGGACTTGTTGATATGCGCGCCTTCCTTCAGCCGTTGACCCGTTGCTCCAGTCGCGTTCGCACGCTCGCTAAAGACAGAGAAGGATCGTGAGGACGACTGCGTGAATCGTCGCGCGCTGTGACTGTCTTGCTTTGTATTTCTGATTCTTTTTCTCTCTTTATTAATTTATTTTGCTCTGTTTCTACTCTCTCCCTCTCTCTCTCTTTCACGTCCACGGACGATGGAAAGTAAATTTCGGCTTCGGATGCTTTTCTCGAGACTACCTTCCGGCCAAGTCGACTAGGTGCACCTTGGAAACGGTTTCCGACGGCATGTTGCCTTCCGAGTAGCCGGCCTGTACGAAGGTTATCGTAAAAATCGCGTGACTCCTGCTACTCACGTCGTTCATATTTGTGCTGGCTGTGGTTCTGTGCGTATTACCTCTCACCATGCATTCCTGGAAGGAAAACAATCGGGAGAGCGTGACAGATGAGACGAGCGATCTCCGCGCGGCGGACATGCAAAGCCGGTGTGTTACCTGTATGTCCGAATAATCGTAAACCAGGTGACTCGACAGATCTTGGACGTACGGTCCGCGCTTCGGGTGCTCGCGCACCTTCAGCGAGTGGTGGCTTTGGTCCAGCCTCAGCAGGTCCCTCACTTTCTCGTTATGAATCTCCAGGAAAGACACTTCCGTCCTGTACGACGCTCCGCTCTCTTTTCCAGTCGCCATTCTGGCGAAGAGTGTCTTGCAGATACGCGGTATCAATCCCTGAGACTCCTGCGGCGATACGTGAGCTAAGTTACGGGGGAGGAATGCGGGAAACGCGAGACTGCAGGTGAAAACGCGTTACCTGTCGCGATATTCGATCCGCCGAATCTTAACGCGATAAAATGCCGGCGTGAAATTGCAGTCGTGATATTTCTCGCCGAAGTTTTCGGGATTTTACGGCTCACCCGGCGGAGAGAATTCGTACGGATCGACTTCACTGTGCGCGAAACGAATGAAAAGAGCGACGGTGAATTTTCTTCGGCAACGATAGGAAACAATTTCCGTAGCTCCGATCAATCTCATGCGCCAAATTACACTCGGAGGAGACGTTCTTTTTCGCCTGCAGCCCAGAGGGAGGAATGCGTCCTCTCCCGACGAGAGTCCGCTGACTGTAACATTACCGGAGTGCCCATCATCGTGAAAGTCTTCCCGGATCCTGTCTGGCCGTAGGCAAAAACGCAGGCATTGTAGCCCTCGAAGGCACTTTCTATTACGTCCGTTCCGAGATCGTAGAAAACCTGGATAACAGGAGGAGAGACGTTTAGCGTGTTCCGTTCGTCAATGAACGATAGCCTCGATAATGGCGGTGGAGGGGATGGAAGCGAAGTCTTATCACTCGGCGAACGGCTCGAAAGAAGTCGACGTAGCGCGTAACGCAACGACACGACGTGAACTCGCCGCGACCATTGGCGTAACGATCGCGTACACGCTTTACATAATGGCATCTAATTAAGCCGTGGCGCGTCGATTCCTTTTACGTAACAACAATTATCCGCGCAGGACGATACCACCATAAAGCGTCGAGCCTCGCGCGCTGCGATATCGATTCGTATAGAAAATGTATTCACGAGCAACGACAGATAATGATTTCTTTTAATGTACCTTGAATATGTTGTTTTTCTTTTAAATATGTGCACATTGTGCGTATCCCGTGAAGGTACTGCAGTACAGACGACGATTCGGAGAAAGGGATTCGAAGGTTTTAAAAAAGTTATGAACCCATAATCGAGGTTCGTCGGAAAAACATCCGAGCGTAATCGAGATCGGCCTGAAAACGACGAGCTGCTGCGCCCGTGACACACGATCCTCGCTCATTCATTTTTATTCCCAATCACGATGATTCACTATCGGAACGACTGAGCTAATTATAACGAGCAGCTGCTGCTGCGTGGGTAGACAATCGGCCCGATCTTTCCGTATACAGTGGCGAACGTTATCGCGAGTGTTTCGCGCGAATGTTTCCCAAGGTCGACCAGCTGGACGTTCGACATCGAGAGAGGTGATTCTTTTTCGTCGCGTTTCCTCCGTTCTCATCGCGCCCGCATCGGTGGATCGCAGGAAGAATTCGACACGAACCTCTTCCTGCGACACATAGTTGTCGTCGTTCGAGTCGAAGGACCAGTAGGAGTGATCGAACGTGAAGTCTTTGTATTTCTCCCGGTCGATATCTCGGCAGCTACCCGGTGTCTGTGAACAATAAAACGGCAATCATTATTCGCCCGTTGGGGCGTCGAGTCGAGGCTCGTTATCGGCGCATTAGTGCCAAAGTTCAATTGCCATTAGCCGAACCGCGCGTGAATAATAATGACGACTGATCTCGCGCGACCCGCGCGGATGTCACCCTTGTCATCCTAGAGAGAGTCTCCGATCGGAAATCACGATTGTCTCGCGTCTGGCGGACGATCGGGCACTTATAACGGATGACGGTATAACACGTGCCGTTCCCCGGGCGTCGCATCCTACATTACTGATGAGACAACGCTGGGAATCGCGCTGCATTATGCAAGAAGGCGGGTGATTAAAAAGTAATACCGACGTGATTTTCACGTCTATCCCGTTCTCGTGGCTTCGCGCGCGCAGCTCACGACGTCGGGCGCACGAGCGATCCGAAAGTGACTCATTTAATTAAGATGCGTGGGTGTACGCATCATCTCGAAACCACGTCACGATACACACATGTAGAGAGTCCGTGTGAGAGACGAATGAATTGAATAGATGAACTTTGCACGCCGAACTAAATCGAATATGTGAAGTCACGATCGCGAATACGTTTTCCCCGAACAGGCAGTCCGCTTAACATTTTCCGTTCATATTATAGTTTTAAAAAACGGGCTTATTTTCCAAGGATAGGATTCGTGTAGAAAAATTCACTCATTGTGTGTTCGGTTCAAATCTGCCGCATTTATTTCTTTTTCCGTAAAGAAGATAATCGCGTGTACTTGAGTGAAGTTAAGTGAAGTTAATATGTTATATGTTAAAAGACAATATTGCTCACTTTAACTTCACTTTAAGCAATATAATTCAAGTACACGCAATTCTTCTTTACGGGAAAAAATTTTTTTAACGAATTTTTCTACTCTTGGGAAAGAAATCGAAAAATCCACAGAAAAAAAATCGTTTTTTTCCGATCCTTCGAAACTACAGTTCATATGAGTTTTTTTTACAATGCGTACAAGTTATTTACGATTTTATTTCTCGTCATCTTACGGAGAACTATATTTCTCTGGATTATAATAATCCGAAACAAGTCGACCGTTAACGCATTTTCGATGTAACACGCCGCGGTGAATTGAAGCGGCCGAGTGCTTCGCAGATTGCCAAAGCGCGATCGATCCTCCGAGAGCGCTCCGTGTGTCAATCGCGATTCGATACAACGTTTCAATTCGTACGCGATTAATTCGCTCGCGCCGATCGGCGTGCGACTCAGCGGAATCGATTAAACGCGCGTCGCGCTTTCAATCAAGGCTGAGCGCCACCGCGCCGTGGATTTCGCATCGGAAGAACTCCGACGGGATTCGCCTCGTTCATCGAGCGGTGAGACAGGCGGAGGGAGGATCGTCCGGATGAGAGTTAATCGAATACGAATAAAATGCTGCGGGTTATACAACAAGCGCGGCTCTCGACGATCGTTCTCGATTGCGTGGCTGCAGCAGTCGCGGCGATCGACTCGTCGGCGCGAGAGCGACGCGTGTTACCCGTCGTGTTTTGCGGTCCAGCTGAGATTTTCGCACTTTCTCTGAGAGTCGCGCGGCGGCCACGCATGCCGTTATCCTTCAGCGAGAAGATTCCGCAAAGAAACGACGGAGAGAAGTGTCTGCTCGAGTGAGTCCTCGAGAAAGACAGAATACACAGCTGGATCGACCGCTCGGTGTACCGTGTAAATTTCCGAGATGATAAATCAACTGCACACACGTAACAATATAACTGCGCATCGCGTCGTTATAATTTTCTTCCTCGCCGTCCATTTCTCTCCGCGGAAGTCTCGAATTCTCGACTTCGCTCTGGGAAAGCTCCAATAGTCGAGCGATATTCCAAATTTATTTCAGGAATTTATTTTTCAAGATTCGTTTCTTGATAAAGTCGACATTTTTATGATATTCTGACATTCTTAAGAATAATCTCGCAGATTAATAAAAATCTATTTTGACCTTACGGACACTATTTAACTTCTCTCTTGAACTTTTAGTTCTACATATTGAAATCTAATGTTACTTTCAATAACATATTTTGACGCTAAAACAGCGAAAACGGAAATTTGAGACATCGTCAGGCTCAAAGTAAAGGCTACATTATAAGATTTGAATTAAAATTGAATTTATTTGCTATCTTAGTTCCTACTATTGTAGAATTAAAGGCTTAACATAGAGCTAAAATTTGGATTCGAGCGATTTTTCTCATTTCTTCTTTTTCGGAAGTATTTATTCGAACGCGTCTGTTTCCGCTTCGATCGAGACTTCCTGAGGACCGATCGAGGTCCCATTAATAATTGCCACTTCGTTGAATTCGTTCGAGCAGAAATTATGACACTCGGCTCGCGAGGCATTGTGCCTCGGTCATAACGAAAAAGAAAAGCTCGTTCGCGTCACGACTTCCGGCTTAGAAATCCTTTAGAAAGTCCATTTAAGGCCATTATTGCTCAGCACCCGGGGTACTACTGAGTGAATTCCTACGCTCATACCACACACAGCTAACAATATTATCGTTCACACGAACATTTGATCCTGCACACGAGACGTTTCATTTTCAACGGGTTCCTTTGTGAAAACTAACGTCCGCTTCGCTAATTCCATATAGTTCATTTTGCAGATTCCGCTGATGTTATAGGTAAAATATAGGATGTCTTACAAAATTATCGCATGCGAAGTGCATTGAAGATTCTTGGTATCAAAGAAAGCAAACTTTACGTTTGCTAAAATTCCATTCAAAAGATATTTTTTTTAATGAGAGCTTTTCAAAATTAAAATTAAAATAAAATTTTGGCAAAAGAGAAATCGCTTTATTTGGTATAAACTTTCCGGTGCACTCCGCATGCGATTATTCTGAGACACCCAGTATATATCATCGTTTCGCTTCATCGAAAACGAGATCTTTAAATAACGACACGTGGAGATATCCAATTTGTCCAATTTAGTTTGATTCCAAATTGACTTCGCACTCACACTCGGAAGCATATCTGATTAAGCCGATCTGCCCTTTTATTCCATTATATTTATTTATGATCTCTCCATACGCGATATCGAAACTTCATCCCTCTCCTCGCTCACCTCCAATCTGCAAGTCCTTATGGCAACTTCGCGGGAACACGACGGTGTTCGTGATGCAACCGCGCTTACGTCACAAACGGACCTTCAATTTATAAACATAGAATCTAAGCGTAAATATGCGACAACCGCATTTAGCACCAAAGGTACGCTCCTCGTAACAGGTTGGTATTCGCCTACGCGTTTTGTCTTTAACAACTACCTTTATAAAACTCGAACCGGCGATCATCCGCACCGCGCGAGTATAATCAGACGTGCTCTCCAATAAACAAACTTCGAATAGAAATATAAGAGACCGGCGCGCGTAGTCTAAAAAGCGACTGTCTTCTTTTACATGGCGATCATACGCGATCCAATTCGCGAATCCAGACCGGGGCCGCGCGACGATTCGCGTGTCGTGCGAATATCGGCGAACGGCAAAAAACCGTGCGAGAGCCATTAACCTCGATTGATAATGACCGCCTCGGGAATTCGCCGCCTCATTCGCGAGTCGTAATCATCGAGATCGCCAATCACTAGATGACATTAACAACGAGACTCGAGTATTGGTCGCGCTTTTCGGAGCGGCTGCGTATAACGCAGCTCAGTCGACGAATATTTCCGATTTTTAAGTGGAATTCCTCGATTGTCCGCGGCAATAATAAAACTGGAATTTCGTCATGTTTTAAGTTATCGAGATAGATATCGCACGAGATAGGCGGTATAAATTACCGCCGAGAGGTCGGCGCGATTTCGTCACAGAGCCGTTCTCTCTGACGAGAGAATCGGAATTTTGTAACGTGCCAGTAGCAGACGGAATTACACGTTACGAAAGTCACGGTGAACTTAAGGATGTATTACCGTATTATATATTAGGGTCGCATTTCCAGTGGGACCACTCATCAAGGGGGCCATCCGTAAATTTAGTAAATTTTAGTATTTATCAAGCAAAATTACATTCCTATACATTTATTTCACTACCTAAATAATAAATAGAATTTAATTATTAATAATTAGATTTAATCTAATAGAGATACATAGGTAACGAAAAAAGGTATATGAGTGTTTAAATATGTACATATGTATATGCATTTCGAGTATTACTAAAAACTATAAATCTTACACCGCTATTTCCAAAATAAAATGGTTAATAATTTTGAAATTTGTGTATAATTTTTGCATATCGCAGTTTTTAATATCATAATAATTTCTCATCAAAATCTAATTTTTAGTTTAGAAGATGTTAAAGGTAGAAATTAAAAGTCTCAAAGAACATGTAAAAAACGTCAACTTCAGTTACAAGTCTCTCAATTCGCGAATAATCAATCTTTTTCTAATTACATGAACAACGAGTTAGATAATATTTCAATATATATGCAGTTTCAATGTATATGCAAGTTTCATCGAATTCTGATCAAACTCATTTTACCTTATAACCTTTTAAAGTTGAATAACTTTAGATCCGGGCTCTGAATCACTGTCCAACTTTTGGTATCACTTTTCAATATATTTTTCAATGTAGATCCATTTGCAATCTTTTCATTATTCCGGCTTATAGGCAGTAAGTACATCCTTAAGATAATACGTAATCTTACGAAGATAAACGACAGTCTGAGAAAAGCCTCGCGTTCAAGGACACAGGCAACACGCTTCGCCTACCTTGGAGTTGAAGATCCGCGTCCTCTTGCCGTCCATCTGCACGATCATCTTCGCGTTCATCGCCAGCTCTCTGCGAAGCAACAACAAACGCATTCCGTTAGCCGGCATATAAACATATATAGGTCGATCGACGTCCGCGACAATCGGCCCAAATTCGCGCGCGCGGACATCCTCGACGGCCGCAATAACGCGTCGCACGCACGCCAGTCGATATCACGACGACACAATTGTGTCACGTGCTGTCAATAACATCTCTTTGATCCACCGAACGAGCCGGAGTCACTGCGCTGGTACTCCGCGCGGACGCGCAGATGAGAACACCGAAAGCGCGCCCGTCATCTACGAGAGCACCATTTTACTTGAGTTACTCCAAAATTCTTGTTTTTCGCAGAAACATAATTTTATATGAATATATATATGTATACATTTATACATGAATATTTGGCGGCACAACAAAATCGTACGAAAACATTCCTGACATTTGGAACGAGGCGAATCAGCGGTGTTTGCGAAGAAACAAGTCAAAGTGAACCTTTTCTAACCGGTTTCGCAATAAAAAAAAAAGAACCTTTAAAGCGAACGATCGATCATGTCGCAAATAATGCGCAGTCCAGGAAGTAGCTCCCATGGCGATTCGTATTCCCGAGTAAATGATAGAGTAGGAAAAGACAGAAAGGTCGGTGATATTTGCGTCGAACGTTAAACGTCGCAAAAGCAACTCGGAAAAGGTAGATAATGCCTCGAAAGTTGATTTAAGTTTAGGTTAAGTTGTCGGCTCTTCGGGTTATTGTCCACCCCCTTTCCCTTCGAAATCTGCGAGACTCGTCGACACGCGAGTAATCGCGCTAATTACGTTCCTAAAGACGACTTTTTACCCGCATATTCGCGAGTCATGATTGTGTGGACGAGGAAGTAGGAATAAACGCTAATTATTGGATCGATATCGTCGGCGTTTCCGAGACTCTCAACGGGGACAACTTGATCACCTCGTCGGTGACGACGATGACCCCCATTCACGGTGGTGATCGCGTCGCTATCTCGCGCGTGCATCATCGCCCTGAGACGTCTCCTACACGCTCGATGATGTTGCACAATGATTACAGCGCCGATAGTGTCGTGGATGATCGATACACATCGTGGAGACGTCGTCGGCGGGACGACGTTGTTACGTCCGCGATAATTGCGCAACGTTATCGACTGCTGCGGCGATCCGAAGAACTCGAAATACATCCGGAGGACGTCTATAGATGGAACGTCCTCGAGACGTCGCGAAAGTGTCTCTTCGCACAGCGAACTCGACCGAACACCTGACGACACCCGCCGACATTTCTAGGGATGTCACCGTGAGCGCGCACCGATTAATCCGGGTGATTTCGATCGACCGGACGTTCAAGTGCAAGTCAACATATTGTTTGCGGAGCTCGCGCGAGGTGTTTGATTGGTCAACAAGCTTTCTCTCTTCCTCCCTCTCTCTCTCTCTCTCTCTTTCCCTCATACATTGTGCATTCGCATGAGCAAATTCGCGCGCGCGCGCGCGACAAGTGCACACCGGTCAGCGTTCGTTGGCGAATTCGCATAGTCGCGTTGAAGATCGCAAAGAGAGGAACGCCGGCCGCAACGCGGACATTCCAGGGTCGGTCGTCCGAGTCGCGCGAGCGGTCGACGACGATGGCGACGACGGAGGCTATTGGAGCACCCGCGTCGTCATCGTTGTCTACCTCATGCTGATTCTCTTTGTCCGCGACTGCTCTTGGGCTCTCCTTCGTCACCGGTTGCACGAGACACGCACCTTTTGTTGAAGGGTCGAACCCTCACGGCCACCTTCACCGAAGCCATGGTTTCGACGGGACGATCGCATCGGACCAGTTAACGACGTGAGTGAGAACACGAGGTCGCCCACCGTTTCTCACACGAGGAGACACGCGGCGACACACCTCCAGCACGCGACGGCTGGCGAGTGCGCGGCGCCACTACACGCGTCCACCGGCACAGTCGCCGTCGACGGACGTCGTGCACCACTGTCCTCGTCGAGCCTGGAGCGCGATAATCAGCAGCAGCGACATCATCCTCCGTACGCACGTTCACGGCAACCGCAGCCGACTGCCGCGCCGCACCGAGTTGAGCCGAATCAAGCCGAGCGGCGAAAAACGGGCAAGCGCGCATGCGCCAACTGCCCTCCACACACGGCGAACCGCTTGTCCGCGTTTGCGAAGGCCGTTCGAGGCGACGTGATTACACGCGTTTCTTTCTGCATTCTCGTTTTTTACCGACGCCTCGTTTCGTCCGGCTGAATTCGTTCCGCTTCGATTTCGGCTGCGAGACACGTGATGAGCGCGCCATTGCCAGCTGCCGTGTATTTCTAAGTTATGAACAGGTACCCTTTATGATGTTTAATTGCCATGAGCCTCGATTTTCTCTTACCCATAGTCGCGTGCGACAAAGAAAACACGATCAATTCTCCATATGTACGAATGAATATGTATGGTCAGTCGCAAAAAAGTTGCAACTCCTTTTTTCTTAACTTCGAGACGCATCCCGTGTCCAATAGTAGATAGTATGAATATCGCGGATCTTTCGCGATCGACGATCATCAACGCCGGCATTGGGACGATGCGAGATGTCGTCGGCCATCTTCTCTGTCTCTTTCTTACGGAAACTACGGAAATAGAACAGCAGAAGAAGGAGGAAGGAAGGAGGAAGCGCGGAGCAATCAGACTCCCGAGGGAGCAGATGTGCGTAAGAGTACGGCAACAATACACAGCAGCCGGATCGAGCACGAGCGAGGCGAGCGGACGGATAGGCTCGCTGAAAACAGGTTTGCACTTCCCTCGTCTACGACGCGATGACGTCACCGGCGTTCGGCCGACGTCGAGCCGCGCCACCCACGCCGCGCGGCGGCGAGGCGAGGTGTGGCAGGAGGGCGAGGGAGAAAACGGATAAGAGGAAGGGAGGGAGGGAAGGATCGGCTAAATCGAATCGCTTTGCGGTTTCTCGAGCGCGTAACGGCGGTCGCGATCGCGTCGTCTTGTTTTGTCCAGCCGGAGGAGGAGATCGCGCCTGGTCAGCCGGACGGGCACATATCCAGGACAGCGGTGTGAGCACCTGCCGATGCGCGCGCTCGTAAATCAAAAAGCGTACGGAGACGCGCGCGGCGAGGGTAGAAGAAGAAGAAGAGAGCGGACGGAGAACGCGCTCGTTGACGGACACGTTGTGTCACGGGTCGACGAACCTTTTGATATTTGGCACGCTTTTGCGTCAAAGCCCTGGCTCGCGTTACCTCCTGCTTGCTTACGAGTAAGCCAGGTAGGTGAATTTAATGGGGGGGATCCATTGAGCGGAAGAAGCGTCGGGATTTTCGCTCGGCGAAAGCGGAGATTGATTCGACGATTTTTTCCGTCGGAATTGGAACACGTTTAATTTCCCCTCGTGATAATTACCGCTGAGTAAAAGAGAAAAGAGAGAATTACGGTTTCTTTTTTGCATATATATATATATATATATTTCAGTCAACTGAGCGTTAAATTATCTCGGCAGAAGAAGGAAGAGAGAGAGAGAGAGAGAGAGAGGTGAAAAACGGCACTACAATGCGCCGTTATTCGAGACGCGAAGTCTAACAAAAGTTGAAGACGCATCTTCATCGAGCGCGTCGAACACGGCGAACGATTTCAAAACAAGTTACTACATGATTGGTAGATCGCGTTATGCGCATACATATGCGATTTTGTCGGTAGCCTCTGAATATGGACCAATCAGCGGGTTCCCGCGCTCGCGCTAAATATGGCGAACCCGCGGTACATATACGACGCCTTTCGAGAAGAGGATATATAAAAAAGTCCGAGCACGCATCGACACCTTCCTTCTTCCTTCGTGTGCGCGTATAACGGCGCGCTGCGCTTCCGCGAACTCTTCTCTCGTCCACGTCCACGTCGCGCGGAACAACAGAGCTGATCGGCAAATGAGAGAGAAAAACTCATTTCCATAGTATCGTATGCCCATATTTATCGTGTATTATGCGAAACCACACGGAATCCATGGGTAGGCAGAGAAGGCTGCCGGGAGATTATCCGAGGTAGAAATTACGCAACCTTCATTATTTCAGTTAAATATTCGCCATTTCAACAGCTTTTCTGCGAAAGGATGTGAAATGTACGCGTAATCCCAGGTAGAACAGAAAATCGCGATAGAATCAAGATAGCATGAAAATAGCGAGAAAGTGATCGAAAATCATGATAGAGAAAAGTGAATCATTTTCTCATCATTTTGACATCATCGTAATTTTCTGTCTTACCTGGAATAATCTCTCTCTCTCTCTCTCTCTCTCTCTCTCTCTCCCAAGCAGCGAGATTCATTTCGAAAAAAATCGGTTGAAATGTTTATTAAACACGTCCCGAAGCGATTATGGTCGTTGTAGGCGATGACAAAGAACAAATCGCGGAAACCTTGGAGAGCCGAGCGGTTACACGATATGCGTTCGCGCCTAGTGATACAGTGATTCATAGCCGATCAGATTGACGTAATCGCGTTGGCAATTGGTATCCTCGACTCGGGGAAGGTAGTCGTGAATCCGTTGGGAGACATGACACACTTCCGGACGGCTAATTACGGCGGCCGGGTAACGATGACCTGTGCCTTAGTTCTGCCGTTGACCGCGAAGGTCTTCGCACGTAAGAAATTTTTAGCCGTAATCGTAATTCTGTAAAAAACCGACCAATCACAGTCGATTATTCTTCGATCGCAAGGAGAACATTAAACTGCGATTGGTCAATTCTCTTACGGATTTACGGCTATGACTAAAAATTTCTAAAAAACATGGAGTCCTTGATCACGAAATGTAGGTAAAAATCGGCTGAATATCCAATTCTGCAGTTAGCCAAAGAGAGACGCGAGAAAGAGAGCCGCGGTGGAGACAACTCAAGTATTTTCAAGAGAAGTCGTTCGTCGAAAGTTCCGAACGGACTTGCTCAACCGGCTACACTCCGACTAAATCCCTGTTTTACCGACCGAGTGGTTCACCGGCGGAGCAGTCGCGCGCACAGATGGCAGCATTGGCTCGCAGTGATCAGACGCGACCGTTCGAAGGGCTGTTCTGAACGGTTTCTCGGACCGGAGCTCCGGAGTCGGCCTGGCAGTAAGGGGCTCTGAGGGAGGGGGTAAGCGGCGTACGGACGGCGAGGTAGATCGTATTCGCGGGCAGGTTGCGTCAGTCGGGTGGTAACTGTCGGGCATGTGCGTCGGTCGTCAGTGTTAAATCGTGTACGCGTTTTCGCGGGTAGTGGTGTGTGGCGGCGGTGGGTGGTACTGATGGTGGTGGTGCACAAAAGCGAACGTTGCCTCGTTGGTCGCGCGCGCGGCTCTCTCCTTCGCGCTCCGGAATCCGCCGGGGAAGAAACGTTGGCGCGGACGGTGGTGACGCGCGAGAACATGTGATTCTGACAGGGTGAGAGAGAGAAAGAGAGAATAACAGCAGCTCCTGTGACGTTAGTTTTTTTTCTCTGCGTATTTCGTGCTTCAAGTGTGCGCGACGCGCGGCCGTGGTGTACGTAGCAGCGGCGGTTGACTCGTTTCGTGACGCGTCGCGCCGCTACAGTCGTCGTCGGGGACACGCCGGGTACGCCGGGATCGTCGCCCCCTCGCACGCGCGCCGAGGGGTAGCTGGCCGCCGGAGGACACGATGTTCTGAATTCGGAGCGGCCAGGGGACACCATACGCATCATCATGGTCGCTAAGCATTTTGCGGCGCAGGGTGAGTTCCTCGCAGCACGGCTCCCTTTCTCTCTTGCTTCCCTTCCCCGTCCTTTTCTCTCACGGCGTCCCTCTGTCCCTCGCGAGTCCGTCCTTTCGTCCGTCGCCCCCGCCCCGAAATTATCCCGCAACAATGTTGCGCCGCGCGAATGATTTTCTGTCGCCGTCGTGACGACGACGGACTCTCGATGGGAAAACGCGTGCTCGCCTGCCTTCCCATAGACGTATGGACGGTGGCGACTACGGCTGGGCATTTGGGTGGTGCAGCTCCGATCATAATAACAGAGGCGTTGCGTGTACTTTCTACACTTTCCTACCCACCCTTCGCCCCCTTTCCTTCCCCCTTATTCTGAAAAGGCGTAGGTAATTGTTGCGTTCGCGCGGTACCAATGGTACCGTCGGCACATGCGACGGACTACCTTTTTTTGGAGGGCAGGATCATTTCCAGCGGTTGAACTGACGTATGCGCGCGTCTGTGGTACACCTTGGCGCTGAATATGATGACGGTATTATTATCGTGTTCTTATCGTCGTAATGTTTACACTTGCGTGTCTCATCACACACGTAATCGAGATTTCATAAAATATGCGGTGGAATTGTTACATATTTATCATTCTTGTTCTCCAATAGCACAATTACTCGTATCTGCGCTCTGTGAAATGGTTTAGTCGTTCACCGAACCGAAATTACACATTATCCGTCCGGGCTCCGAGAGCTATACTTATTTTTCCTATCACTTTTCTCTATATGTTTCCTATCTGTATGATAAAAACGTGTTTGCTCTCCAACTTGTTTCGATATCTAATATATATATATATATATTTTTTTTTTGTTCACTCAATCAGGATTTCTTTGCAGAAAGGAATTCCTTTTTTCTGTATTTACACAGTAAACGAATTTCAACGTTAGTCTCGTTCTTTTGTGCGTCATTTTGCCGAAATAAATACGTATTCGCATGAGTATTCGTGTAGTGCAATAACGATGCAGCAAGGACGATTCGTCGCGTGTTCGTATACATCGCGAGTCACGACGACCGCCAACACTTCTCAGTTCCGCTCCCTCGTTCGTTTTCGGCATACTGATCGAACGGAATACATTTTACCCTTTCTTTCTCTCTCTCACTATTTTCTCACCGCGAACGTTTCCCCGATGTTCGCCCGTTATTGAGTCCGGGGAAACGAAATAGCTCTCACTAGAATATAACCACGCTGTGTATAATTTCCAATCGGGAATCGGTAACTACTACTCGTTACTTCGATTGCGCCATTGAGAAAAGGAACTGCACGAGCGTTTTGGCTCGTGAATATTTCCGCGACTTCATTTTCGTACTTGACTCGCTTCCCGCGAACGAAAACAACACTCTCCATGCGCTTCTAAAATATCCCAAGTTTATCTATTAGTCTACGTTGTGAATGTCGATTTAAAGATTCTTTTATCTCTGCAAACGTGCTTACAATTCGACATCTCCATTTATATGTTGCATATTAATTTGCAAACAGATGCGTCCTCAAATATGCTGAAACGCGCTCAAAAAGCGTCGGTCAATGAACAATCAACTTTGTCATGCGCAAAAAAATGAATTGGAAAATAATAAGTTGAAAATATGATTTAACTCGCGTTTTCGTTTATTTTTTAATAGAATCGAGCTCCGAGTTTTGTTACGCGAAAAATTCTCCGTTGCCACGCGCGCTCGACGAGATACTCGTGTCAACGCAAACTCGGTAGGGAGATGGGGCGGCCGCGCGTCGTTGGGAAAAGAGGATGAGCAGCGCGGATAGCAGGATAGCGACGATGACGTATTGTGTGAGAGGCTTCGCTCGGCAGCTGACTGACTGCGCGATGTCAAGTTCGCGCGGCGACTTTCGCCAGTTCGATGCCCAATCGATTTGCGCTCGCGTAATAATCCCTTTCTCGCGTGCCGCCGCGACCTCCACGTTCTCCGCTGCTATCGCACGAGCAGCACACGCGGACGGAAACCCAACACGGTTGTTATTCTTTCTCTCTATCTGTTTGAACCACGGAGTCGAGGGAAAATGCAACCGGCGGACGAGCGGTGGGAAAAAAAGCCCACCGCTTCGCGGGTGCACGAGATCAACGACCAATAATGGAGGTGTTCCGTGTGCCGTCTTTGCACGATGTTAAATATGATATCACGATCAGATTTTGTCTCATATTTGCTGCTCACGATATTAAGCGCTCTGGAAAAAATCACCAGTTTGGAAGATTCGATTAGGTACTTGCGAAACCAAACATTAATTAATTTATTTAGTTGTATAATGCGAAAAGTTACGTGGAAAGTTAGCGTTGATGCGAAGTCTCAAAGGATTTTTGCACGCGCCGTGACGGCGTCGGAATGTGCGATCGGTACTCGTGTCGAGGGTATATCGAAGTTATCACACATTGCTTCTGATAAAGCTACTTACACTGTATACTTTATAACACACACATCGGCATCTTCTGTGAAGATCTTTCGTCGCGGGTACAAAGCGGCCAGTGACTACGAAAGAGCACCGCGTAGACACGTGGAACGCGTGGCAGTACGCAACATGAAAGTCACGTTCAACCCTGCATTCTCGCCGTGTGACAATGCATATTCTTGATGAAAATTTCATGCATTTTTCGAACTTTTATCACTCGTCGCATAATCGTTGTCGCGAAGTATTTTCCGATTGGAAATCGACTACACGTCGATATAGAAAATAAATAATAATAAATGATAAATAATAATTGCACTACGATTTCAACACATAATGAACTCACACGGGGAAGAAAAAGATTCGTTGAATTAATGTGACGATGAATGAACCAAGCGCATTTTTTGTTGAAGGAAACGGAATTTTTGGTTCTTATCAGCCAAATTCGATTCTTCAGAGCCAGAAAATTCCGTTTCCTTTGACAAAAACGTGCCTGATTCGTTTATCGTCACGTTTATTTAATCAATATTTTATCTCCGTGCACGCATAGTCAACACACAGAGAGATAATAGATAGTAAAATAAGGGAGATAGATAAGATGACGAAGTATATTCGTGATGTGTCACTCAAAAAAATGCTTTTTCAGTCATAGCAAAAATGATCTAAATACGAGAAATTAGCTGAGACGGATAAATGTCTAGCAAACATTTCAGTGTCACATCTGTGTTGTATCTGATCAGGCGACAGACAGAATTTTTATCTGAATTATTTGTCTAATTTAGCAAGAAAATTTCTCTGTGGAGTCCACCCGGATTAAAGCGAGTCACATATCTTATTAAAAATTACTAACAGGACCGAAATTTTCTTGCACATATTGCCAGAACACTGCTGCTACAACCGTGTTGCTTATACGTACCACAGACAATTTTCTAGCAGATATAAAAAAACAGCGATACACTTTACCTGTGTCATTTAGAATTCTAGCTAACTAGCAAAACAGTTTCCTGAGTGACATGCTTTAAATTGATTTGCGACATCTGTGGAAATACTTGTATCTTATATTCTACGAGGGGACACGTCTGACATTTTGCAGAAGGCAATCGGATATTCTCGGAGATCTCGATACGGAAAATAAAACACACTCTCAACTTCACAAGTCTCGCCGTGTCGCGACCATCGATCCCACCTTTCGCCGTTTCATTGGGATTCCGCGAAAATTCAACTACAGTCATGACCTAGATCGCGTCGCACACGGAACTTTTCTCACGGAGAAATGTGTATCCGCGGTTGATCGCATCGTGATCTCGCGTTTCGGGCGAATGAGTCACCGGTGACATTCTAGCGCGAGCAGGTTTTCCCGGTATTTCGTGCTCCTCAAGTGAATCATCGCCGTACGCTACGTGTGGTACACCGGAGAACCGGCTAGACGAAACTAGATGAAACTTTTTGTTGGTCGACGACGCGAATCGTCGTTGCGTCACGCGCGTTTTCTCCCAGATGCGGATTTTCTCTGACGAAATCGAAAAATGCTCGGGAGCAAGAATCCGAAGAGTGATGATTACGAGGTCGTGCGATGTTGATAAATTAAAGGATCACGTCGTGAGTCGCGCGCGCACACACACACACCTCGGGAAAGTAATGAGATCTTGTTTTTCCATCAGCCTCGAGTAAACTTCGTTTAACGGTCGGGACTTTCGGTCCAAGATAAATTGAATCAAGCCGCTAGAGCGATGACGAATTGGATTAAAGGAAGTTACGTGTGTGCATAAATAATGGTCCGAAATATATAGATATGTGCGCGCGCGCGCTGGCTGCAGAACGAAGATATGAAATTAAATTAATTGGAAGCTATCGCCCGTGATTTATGTGTAATTCTATTAAATCGGCAGACAGATAATGTCCGAACGCGGAAGGAATAAAACCCGATTCAATCGGAGAAAGTAATAGCCTTCGATCGCATTCTCGCCGTGACAAAATCAACAACGGATCTGTCGAAGATATTAGCAGTATATATATATATATTGTATATATATATATATATATATATATATATCGATAGAAGCCGATATTCATTAATGAGTCTGTGTGTATGTGTGTGTGTTCCCCGATAATACACACAGAGAAAAATAATTTTACTATGAAACCACACATCATTGTTACTGCATATTCGTTGCGACAGCCATAAAATTTAATTGGCTTGGCCAAGTTAGCGAATTATTCGTAATTAGAGTGGAAATAATTTTGTTGTCAGGATAGAAAAATTCTTCCGCGTGAATCTGTCTTTAGACATCCTACGTTAATTTGCTGTAAGAAAGAAAAAAATGTTTCTTCACATTTATTAATTTGTTCTTACAGTAAAATAATTTGTAGATTCGGCGAAATAATCCAGCAAAAATGCCAATTAACGAATAGTTTCTTCTATCCACGTGGTAACTAACAGATTTCGCTGTGACGGCATAAAATTCGCTGTGCGAGCAAATTATTTTTCTGCATGTATCTCAGGTATGATCGAACCACTCTCTCTCCATCCCTAGTCGCGAGATGGATGACAGGCGGACGCGTGGCCGCACGCGACCGGATAAACACGTGTAGTCTCCCCTTCGCGTCATACGGCACTCAAGGCGCGTGTTCTCCCCGCCCGTCCTTAAGGGCCATCATGAACAAATTACCGTAGCCCTGAAGGAGCGTCGTAAACCGAAGAATCGAAGTATCGATCGAAGTATCGCTTAGGGCTCGAATAATTCAGAAGAAGGTAAGCATAGCGGCAAACTTAATTGGAAGCGAAGTAATTAGGATCTCCAGCCCGGCGATGTTTACCGTCACTCTGTTTCACTTCTTCTTCAAAATCACTCGATTGTAACGCAACATCTCGGTGAGTTCTTCGACTTAAGTTTACGTCTCACGTCGCCCGCACAGCTACGGACAATTTGTGCACGGCGGTCCTTAGTCCTCGTGAACTATGTACCCGCTCCTTACTCCTACATACATGATACCGTCGCTACCACTATGTGCGTTCACGTCACTGCAAATTATTGCGCCATGTGGCCAGTTGTGCATTTTTCTTATTTATTTAAGTTAATATTGACACATTTTATTGTCTTTTGCATATTTTTTTGTTTTTTTCTGAGGTTAAACTTGAAAAAAAGCCTTTTTAAAATTTTTGCTTACTGAGGTTAAACTTGCAAAAAAACATTTTTTTAATTTTTGCTCGAAAATTGCTGCAAGCATCAACTACATAATTCCTTCTCTTATCAGGATCGCTCGTGACCGCGCTTTGTGCTGCGGAACATTTTCTCGGCTTTCTATGTACTCCGATCCCTGATTACACGTACGATTTATGTTACGTGTCGTAAGGATCGATCGAATCTATAGGACAATTGCGAAAGACGCTTAGAGAAAGAAAGAAATTATGCACATATATTTCATTTGAATATCAATCATAATCTCAAATCTCAATTATGTAATGGAACTGAATAGAAGGACGTTGAGAGAGAGAGAGAGAAGAAAAGGAGAGATTATTTTGATCTTTGAATTTATCTTTCATACGAAATATTAATATAACATTCGGGATATTCGGTAAAATTATTTGCTACATTAAATGTTTATCCGACGAAGATAACACGTACATATTGAATATTTAAAAACATATTCGCGGATTCCGTTCTATATTCAGCTCTAAAAATCGGATGACTGATCATCGTATTATATACCGTTGAGTGCAGTCGAATCGACACAGTGTATCTAATTTTTAATGAAATTTTCCCAGTTTTCCGATAACTCTCGAGATTGTGATATGTATAAGACATATATATATATATACATTTTATCGCGTTTGTTTCCATAACGCGTTTCTACATCGCGATTTCGCTTGTCTTTAAACACGAGACTCGACATAGCGTTTGAAACCTCAGAATGACTATGAACAATTTCACGAAATATCCGGAATAACGAATCTCGGAGCGGTTTTGATCGAACGCTTTTATTCGCGATTTGATTTTATCGCGATCGTTACGGTTTTAATTGCAATTCGGCCGGATGAGATGGAATAAAATCCGTTTTTATACGAGCACATTAAGCGAGAGGTAGCTCCCGTTGGTGCTCAGGAAACGGATGAAGATCTGCCGCTGATGATAAAGCGACGACGCATCGCGTCACGATAATGTAGAATAGAAAGAGAGAAAAGAACGGTAAAACGTAAAAGAAGAAAGAATAATGTTGCCCCGGTCGGGATTATATTTCACACAAAGTTACAGTATTCTTCTAAACGATTTAGCCTTTGAATACCTGAATTATTCATCCTTCGTACGCGGGATCTTATATCTTGTTTCAAGTATTTTATAGGTTCATGTATATGCAAGTGTATCTCATAAGTCCATCACAAGCACATCAAATTTATTCAAAACATATTCTCAATCCTAGTAAGTTTACTACTTCAATCAAGATTATTAAATTGAAACACTAAAACTAAATCTTAAGTAAAGTTTATAATATTCTTAGAAAGAAAGAACAAATTCTTCTTTTGAGTAAATGATAACAAGCTATTCTATTATTCGTGATGAATATATTTTAATACTATGTCGAAAAAATATTGTTTATTCAAGGTCACTATTATTTAAAAGAAAAAAATTAATAAACCGAGCTTTCCTTCGTAATATAAGTAATATTTTTCTCTGTGTCAATCACCGATATATCGTCATTTCGTAATGAGCAGTCTTGAATCGAGCTAACCAAGTTTCTGAATCATCGCCGCTCAATCTCGAATGAAAAACGCGTCTCGTCATTACAAAACTATGCTGCACGCTTAATTGCTGTAGTAAATTCGATTTTCCACGACGAAACGATGCGGCTGATTTCTGCGTAAGACGGACTGGATCAGCTCGCGTCTCAGAAAGGCGAGTCGAATCGTTCGGCCGCCGAATTCGTCCCCGATAATTAGCCACAGTTCCCGTTACTTGCGACCTTGAAATTGCACCGCGTGCGGCAGCTGGGCGATGCAGGTGCGGCCGCTTTGCAGGTGCATGTGCGCGTCGGGATGCACCTGCGAACCGCGAACCCCGCCGTCGGCACGTGGACTATTATCGAGACGCAACGGATGATTGATTTTCTTTGAGGTGTTTCGTGTTACGCTTCAAATTGATTGCGAGCATGCAAGAGGAAAATCTGACGGTCTAATGATCTGAACGATAACATACGTAAAATCAGTCACGAATTAACTTCGTGATATTGCGACGAAAGTGTGGACTTCGAAGTTCCGATTTTTTCGCAGAGGGAAACGCGACTCTCGTAGGATCGCGTACGAGACGACTTTGATCTCAAAATCCGCGAAATAATACCGGTAATTTTAATTCATGTTAATCCTCAAAGTTTTCTTTGTCTTAATATAAACTTTATCTATCTGTCTAAAAGAGATATAAAATCGATGTTCTGGTAATTTCGAGGCCGAACCGAAGGGAAACCCCTTTACGAATAAATGGATGAGCCGAAAAATTTCCGACGTTAAAGGGTTAATCGAACCGTTCACTCTCGAAGTGGCATAATTGTCACTTACATCGCTGGACAACAGGTGATCAAACAGGCTTCCGCGGCTCCCTTTAATGTATGGGTGCGTTCCGGAAATGTGATTCAAATAAAATTCAATATTAACCATAGTCGCGGGTAATCGAAGATGCGAACTCAATAAACGTTAACAATTTTAATCGCATTCTCTCTTTATCAATTGTGATTTTCAGTTCTACTTTACCGTCAAATCGCCGCGCGTTTCAGCATTGAACATAGCGCGATTTCACGCTGCGTTATAATGATATATCCTTTCTATACAATCGCCTTCGTAACGACCTCCTCTCATTTTCAGGCTCGAGCCCTGAGTGCGGCGTGCCGGATATGACAGTCATCAGCGATATCGACGAGACCGGCATCAATCGAAATCTTCAAGTTCGTTATAACAGGGACCAGATATACGTATCCTTTGTCACGAATAATACAGTTGCTCACAGGCTTGTAGCTCTATTTTATTTTTCTATAAGTCATTCGCCAAGTCATTCATTCTCGTGCCATTCTGACGTGTTCCATTTATTCACATATCTTTGTTATTATAAGCTGTAGGGTCAGAATGCGCTCGAGAACGCTATTAATAATGCTCGCTTTAAAACACGAAGTCGTATCTAACTGAAAGTCGGACCTTGTTCTAGCCCTGCTCATTACTCGACACGATATACTAGTCAAATTAAGCTAATTAGGATAATCAAGATACATCGTAAAGTTTCCCCAGTGGCAAACTCGAGATGGCGATGTCATGATGATCGTCATGAAATATCGCCAAGAGATAGCGATATATTAGGTATCTTGTCATAGGCACATGCATTGAAAAAAGTATTTGTTAATAGGTATTAAAATTTGGTGAATATTTGGCTGGCGAATATTCGCCAAATCCCTTTTTCAATGTGTAAACGTTGACCCCTTTTTCCCGATTTGAACACAGTACAGCGACACGAAAGATATCGTAAGATGCGAAATTCATGCGATTTTCGTGCCACGACGTCTCTTTTATCGCGACGCCAGCCTGATCAACCCTCAATATCGAGCAGGACGCTTCGCAATGCGTAATCATCGAGGAAACGTGTCGCTTCTCTCACTCGCGTTTTCATATATCGACATATTCGTCACGGTCCGCACGTCTCGACGGGCGGCGGGACTGAAAAGAGCAAGCCGGCAGGTGCCGGACGGGGAGCTGGCCGATCTCGTCGAAAAGATGATCGGCGAGAAGAATGGCGAAAGAGAGGCAGATGAATCGGCGAGGCAAAGCCAGCCGAAGGATGGACGCGTATGAATTTTGCAGGGGTGGGCGTCGCTCCTGGGTCGCTGCGTTGCTATGACGACCCCAGTCAGCTGGCGAACCACCCCAGGGCCAGACCCATTCATCTCGGCGGGTTTGCCGACCCAACGACCGACCGACATCACGACGACGACCCACTGTCAACCTCCCCTCCCCCCTGCTCGCGCGATCCTATCAGGTACGCGGATAGAGCCTAAATCGCGCGATCGCGATAGAGCGATCAGTCCAACCGCCGATATCCGCGACTCGGATGCTTGCTCGACACCAGGAATGGAATCGCTCGCCAGGAAAGATAGGAAACTCTGCCGGGAGGTGGAGTAAAGAGTGAGAGCGAAGCGGGAAAAGGCGTTCGATTTAATGAAAAAGCCACGACGAAAAAAACCGAGACTCGCTTCCCAGAGGCCGCCGGGTGGCGTCACCGTTACACACCAGAGCTTCGACGACCACACGTGTTACTTGGCGCTTTTTCTGCCGCCTGATGTAATCGAGAAATTAAACGGCTCGTGAAGCGGCCCGTTCGTCCCTCTCGAATCTCCGTCGTCGAGCGCTTCTTGTGCTCTCGCAGATGAAATCCGCAGCTGCCAGCGACAGCTCGTTGCTCCGGCCATGCCGCGTCGAGGACTCTTCTCGCATTCCCGCTGTACAATCTCGCGATGTGCGCGTTGACCGTGGGCAAAAGTCAAAACGAGTCCGCGACCAAAGCAACGACTTCGTCGTGAGAAGACGAAAATTCCGTCAAGTTAGTCGTCGCTCTAATGAATGAATGAATGAATGAATGCTGCGTTAAAACCTCGCCGTCGCAGCAGCGAGGTTTGCACGTTGCACCCCGCTCGCACTCGTCGCTCCGGCCGGTCGCGTTACGGAAATAGGTCGCCCTATTTAAAGGGCGAAGAAACCAAGCGGGGCGAGAGCGGGGGGACTCATCCAGTCATTGCGCGCACGATGAATCGAGCCTCTCTCTCCGTCCACCTTGCCATCTGGCGGCTCCTCTGTCTTTGCCACCCTTTCCAGCTAATTTGTCCGCATCGATGGATTCTCCCTCGCGACCCTCCTCAGACATTCTCATTTTCGCTCTTTGCCGTGCCTCCTCTTTTTTTCCCTTCTCTCTCGCTCTCTCCTCCTCCTCGTCTCTCTACTCGTGGTAACAGAGGTACACGAGATCGCTCTCTTCGCCCCGGCCCCCGCGACGAGAGCAATTCATACCGGCTAAGGGTGCTCCGCCTAGCAAGAGGTTAATGAGAGCGAACTACCCCTTCACGCGTGCAGGTATACATGTGCGCTTGCGTGCATGTGTGTGTGCGTGCCCGTGCGAGGGGCACGCGAGGCGCACGTGGTGACAGGAAACAGAAGCGAAGGTACAAATACCGCGAAAACGGGCGCACTCGAGCCACCCTCCGGTTTTCTTGCACGCTCGGCTAAATTAAAAAGCCATCGACTCTCCTCCCGGCGTGGTCGCATCGCGCTCGTTTCCGTCGACTAGACGACGTCGGACGACACACCGTCGTTATTATTGGCTTAAATCGCTTAATCGTACGCGTGGGCTAACGCTTGACGCGAGTCTCGTTCGCATCTCGAGGGAAGAGGTGGAGTCCACGGGCGAGATCCGTCTCTCTCGGCTTCTCGCTCGAGCTTATTACGCGCTCCGCTTTAACGTGTAGTTCCTCACGCTTAATTGAGCTTTTCCGTGCGCGAGAAACTGTGCCGACGAAGGCGAATACGCGTAGTAAGTAATCGTTCCTCCGTCCGCCCGCGGAATCGTGAGAGAGTCGGTTTCGCCTATCTGCATCGGGGCCGATCCCCGCGCAGATCGCGGATGTCGTGACTGTAATAAACATGAGGGCCGTATTCCTTCCGCGTAAACCGCTCGATAAGCCGGAAGCGAGAGACGCCCTTCCCCCGAAACGCCGAGCGGTGCCGCTTACCTCGTTCGCGCGCGGTCGGCGCCGACCAACTTTGCCCCGACCTGGAATCTCGTTAGAGCCCGGTCGAAGCTAATTACAGCGATCCGCCGTAGTTTTGGTGCGCCGGCAATTTCACAGAGGAAATTGAAAGTTCCGACCGCTGCACCGAAAGTGCGGCGGAATCTCCTCCGGGAATAGTATTACATCTCGCTCTCTCTCTCTCTCTCTCTCGGCGCGGCAACGCGGAAAAGAAGAGCGATACTCTCTCCCCTTGTTCTCGCTCCCCGAATAAGCTTGTTAGCGGACGGACAAACAGTATTGGTGATTAAGCGCGAAGGTTTCGGCGGAAGGGCGTGAATCAAGGAGCCACCGATAGCGACACGCGGCGCGCCCACGGGCTTAATTAAATCGTTAGGTCCTCCTCCCCCGTCGGTAATAACGGGTTTCGATGGTGCCCTGGACCAGGGCTGTTTACGTCGAAGACCGAGACCGCTTACGAGGGCTCCGACCACGCGCAAGCGGCTCTCTATACACAGACGTCGCATTAATATCGCGCGTGCGTTTCGACCCACGAGAGAGACGGGAAATGGGGACGCACAAGGGTGTCTCTTACCGATGGCCAAGAAGTGTTCCCTTTGAGCCTTGCGTTTCTATGATCAATTTTCAGCCGAAGCTTGTCGAACATAGGTCGGTTTGTCGCGTTTATCGTTGCTCTTTGATTTAAGAAAAAAAAACCATCAGTTTTCGCAATCAAGTTTCAAACTGAAATCGGACGAAAATTCTGCTTTGAACCGGCAGGGAAATGATTTCATCGGCGTCAAAATTTTCGATGATTTGAATCGGAAGCCACAAACGGAAGGCTAAGTTACGATAATTGGTAGATTTTGTATGCACACGCACACACTCGCGCTCGTTTTGTAAGATTCAAATATTTTTTCGGACGCGACAGAAGGCTAAATCGTTACCTTGGGCGAAACGAGTTTCGCAACTCCGGGCCGTAGACCACCACCCCAGCTCGTCTCGAACGTTGCAGAAGGGGTGCACGTATACGATTATAGGTGTACCCACCCCCTTTGCTGGCGAACGGCATGGCATTCAGCAATGAGTCATTCCCCCTATGGGTGACCCCCGAGTCGTGACGTCATTACCGAGCCCTCCTTCGTGCGCTGGCTGTGCCGGCGAAAGCATGTCATCCTGGACTTATTATGCAAGGGATAGAGAAGGCAATAAAGCGATGTTCCCTGGAGATTTCTTCGGCAATATCGCTGCGGTCGGGGAACCCGTGTGCCGCGCAATTCCAAGCGAGACGGCTGTGCCCTCCGTCCCCCTGCCGCCCTTATCGCGGATATTATTTTTCTAAGAAGTGCTCCCAAATGTCGCGATTTTATGTACTTTTACTACACAGGGCTGTTCAGAATTAAGTCGCAGGATTTCGTAGATACACACCGCTTGAACCGACACCGGCTGATTTTAACGAGAATCTCGACGATGAATTTTCGAAAGGCCAATATCGAAAGTAAGAAAACCGGGCAACAAAGGGCGTTCTTCGAGATAGTAGAGAGAGAGAGAGAGAGAAAGAGAAAGTGTCTCTTGACAAAATTCGCGATTTCCGATTTCACCTAGGCGGCATTCTAATTCGAAGTTCATTAATCAGGGAGACGTTTTCGCGCGGTTCTAAGAATAAATAAATAAATTATGTGGCGCGGGATTTATCGGAATCTCAGTCAAGGGGAAGCTCTCGATGCGAGATCACTCGTAAACTAACCGAGGAATCCGCAGTCGAGAAGAGAGAAACTTCTCTCGGAGATCACTCTGCGAAGAACGTGAGAACGGCCGTCGCACCGCCCTCGATCGCCGCTCGAACCCGAGACTTTTTCCCCTCCCTTCGCGTAGGACGGGCAATAAAAATGGGTAGCACAACTTGCCGTCAGCGCTTCGTAAAACGCTTCATACTGCGATCGCAATCGGGTCGGCCGGGCGAGCGAGCGAGCGAGTGAGTTGTTGTAGAAAAGGTCACGCGTTTTTAGCACGATTCGAGACTCGTGCGCTGCCCACCTCGTGGTGTCGCATGTATTTATGAAGGAACCACGCGTCGAAAGGGTGGCGTCGCATTGTGCCAGCGAAAGGGCGTCTGGCTATGAACGCGGAAAAATGTCAGCCGCATCCCTGAACCGGCGGCGGCGGCACGTCCGCATTGACGTTTATTAATATTAATAGGGAATGCGCGATGCGTCAGTGTTTACTAATATGATTTAGTTAATTAACATTAATACGAATTTATAACGATTATGGGAGTGATTAATTTAGCGATGTTGACCGTCGCAGCGTAATAATGCTAATGTACCCAACGGATCAGCAACGGAATGTTTGTCGCCAGAATTTCCTTAACACAGACATTATCACAGACGTACACGGGATCTATACTGGTGGCTGTGAACCCTTACAAGGAAGTGGACTACTACACGAATGTGAGTAAAATTGATCGAATTACTCTTCTTACTCTTTTTTCTTTTTGCTCTTGTTTACGAGGCTCGCAAGAATCGCGTGCCGCGCGAAATCACAGGGTGTGTGATTCGCAGAAAATTCAACAAATCTTGTCCCTCGATTAACGCAAATTGTCGTATCATTCTCGGTCCGGCCTCCCTCTTCCCTCTCCTCCCCTTGGCTTATGCAATCTTGGCATTACCATTGCACGTAGGAAGCGACGCAAGAAAATATTGCGTATTGTCATGCAAAGTTAATCTCCCGGCGGCGAAACAGCTGGGATTGCCGCGACGTTGCAATGACGTTTGCCGCTCGCACAATTTGGAAGGATTTACGACGCCTCGACGGTGCCGAATACAAAACGTGCGAATCAGGGACGCGTTTTCGATTCTGGTCGAGGCGTGGATGGGTGGTACATCGAGTGTTATCGGCACATGAAACGTGATCGATCGAGCGTGTGTAATACAGATGCGTGTGGATCGTTCGCGCGGCCGCGTTTCCTGCCGTTGACAAAAACCGGAAGCGCCGGTGAGGAATAGTAAATATCAAACACAATGCGCGACGCCGTCGGAAAAGGGGGGAAAAAGACCCGTACGCACTGCACGCGACAATCTCCCGGCGGAGATAAACCGCCGTTGCCGTCGTCGCTGAAAGATTAAAACTGCTGCCTCGGATCTCTCCTCCTGTTCTCTCCGGCCGACGCACTTTTCACGTTGCAGCGGCTCTTGCCGCAACGCCGCGCCGGATAGTGCATTACGAAAACGAGAAGCAGCTGCTGTGTGGCCTGCTTAGCGAGTCCCCAATGGCACTCGACAATGCGGCGTTAACACTACGTTGCCCACCGCCTTGCCTCGATTTTTGCTCATTCGCTGCGCAAAAGCTCAGCCGCGAACATCGAATTACCGGAGGTACGGCTGTGTTTTAAAGTTTCGGAAAACCTCCATTTTTTCTAGATTTTATTGCGGGTTTTTTTTCTTTTTTGCTTTCTCACCTTCTCTATGGGAAGAAGTGTGGCGGGGTTTGACCGAACACACGTGAATTTTTCTGGGCGAATTTTTGCACCGTTGGGAGAAAAAACCGAAGAAACCCGCGGAAAAATAGGGGAAAAAACGATTTTTTTCCGAAACTTTAAACTTGTAGATGTGGCAAATTGATACAATTCTAGACACACAGATCTTTTTTACCTTGTTTTATTGACACCGATAGACCGTACCGCCGATTTGTCGAATGCAATTAATTATTTACGATGTGCGCTTTAATGAAACCGATGGTATCATGATAGGAGGTCACCGGTGACGTCACGGTATTCAACGTGTTAATGTCGTGATGTGATTTCACGATGTGTGTCAGTCTCTCCTTTAACCCTCGAGTGGTCACGCGGATGACAAGTGTCCTTCATTTGAAATTGACATTTTCAATAAAAGAATCGCTTTAGAAAGTGATAATATTTATTTATATATAGAAGTAACAGTTATAAAAGATATTATTTGAAACGAACGAGAACAATTCCTAACTGACAAATACACGCAAGAGAAAAATATTTCTTCACTACATGGCGCATTAATGGTAACTAATTAATGTAGTTAAACTAAAGCTGTAGTTAACCAAAAGCTAAATTATTTAGTTACAGTAATCAAATATTTGGTCGGCAAATATTCACGCAAACTACTTGTTACCAAATCCCTCTTTCAGTGTCACGCAACCGTTATACACAGAGATAAAAGTACTTAAAAATTTACTCGAGGGCGAGAGTTACATAAGGTTCATTTTACCAGAAGTAAGGTTTATTCCCGTAAAATAAGTTTCATTTCCTAAAATAAACCTTGTGTTCCACGGATAAATTTTTAAATACTTTTTTCTCAGTGCACGGTTAAATTTCTCGCGAGATCGCGAAAGTAACGCGCAGCGTTGCGGTTTTGCTTCGCGCTCCGTGCGTTCCTCACACGCACGCACACTCACACACCTAAAACCTCGATATCATCGCCGCAGTACGCGTGAGTGTGCGTGCGTGTGATATCATGACCGGACGCGGGCGCGGATGTGGAGGAAGTGTACGCACGTGCAATCTGCGTAACATTCGCGCGGTCTGAAATGCGAACGCTTCCTTGCGTGTATCCACCTCGATAGCGACGCGATTCTCCCGGTAGCGTGTGCACGTGCAATTTGCGTACGGTCCATTATCGCGGTCGCGAGTCCGCGAAACCGCGCGACTACTCCTCGCAGAACGCGCACGGTCGTTTTTATCGTATTGGTTAACGACGCTCCTCTCGCAAACAGGAAACGGAAGCGGCGCGCGACGACGACGTGCTTAAATCGCGTCATGATATCGCGGTAAAACTCGGGGACTCTCCTCGGCCGTTTTTTTCCCTCATTTTTCTTTCTAGGTCGCGTCGACGACGACGCGAAACTCGACAGATAACCACGCTCGACTCGGCGCATCATTCGCGCGACCACGTGGCTGTGACAGCCGATAAACGTTAACAATTAACCACCCACCGAAACGCGCTTATTAGCGCGGAATCGCGCCCGACTTTTTGTTATTGAGAACGGTGACGACGACGACGTCGTCGTCGAGCGGGGCGATCGAAAGCGGGAGGGATGCTTCGTGTATCGAAGTTTATCGGCTCGATAAATTCCACGCGTTCGGGCGCGTTTATCCGCTGACGGGGAGCGGGAGGAAGGGGCGGCGCTAAGTGCACGCTCTCGATAATCGAGCAGTGCACTTTCTTTCTCCCTCCAACCGCTGCCCGACAGCGGTCTATTTTCGGGGTGCACGTGAACGGGTGCGCTCGCTCGTTCTTTTGCTCGCTCGCTCGCGTGCCGCGCACTCATCGTCGTCGGCGATAGTTAAACCGCCGGGAGAATGCCGAAGCGCCGCCGTGATTAGGCCGCAGGACCCGAATTATTTCTGGTATCAAGTGCCAGGCGCGCCAGAACCCGAGCGAGGGGGAAGAACACGCCCTGTCGCGGGAGACGAGTTCTCGGGAAGAGAGAGAGAGAGACTCGCCAGATAAATTGATACTCGGAGACCGCCGGGGTAATATACACGGAGCGTTAAGAAGAAGAGGTCCGAAAGGCACCTTGGGTGACTTTTAGAGAACGGGGTATCCTTTTAAGGCGGAACCGCGCCCTCGATAGAAGTAGATCGTATTTTCCAGGTTCGATTACGGCGAGAGACGCGGGGGAGAGGGGGTGGGCGAGACACCGCCGTTTCTCCTCGGCGTGTCGCCTCCTCCCCGGCGATTATATCCCCTCGGCTACCTCGAAATCTCGAATCGCGGAATTCGCACCACTGGGACTCTCTTTCTCTCTCTCTGTCCACCACGATTCCATAATGATGAACGACGAGCGTCGGCACGCGAGCGCAGGAAAGAACGCTCGTTATCGCGCACACACGCGTGACAATGTGACACGCGATCGCGCATTATTTTTACACGCGCCGAGGGGAGAGGGATTCGCATGTCTCGCGAAGGTCAGCCGGGGTACCGAGAACCCCTACCTAGGCCAGCAGAAGGAAAAGGGTGGCACGCCGTGGTGTGGTGCACGCCCCGCGTTATTGATCGCGCACGAAGCGCGCGCGGGATCGGATTCGGCGGCATTCGCCGTGGTCGGTCGGCCGCCCCGGTCGCCTCGGCAGTGCACGTTTCTCCCGGGGTTGTACCCTCCGCAAGCTGCGATCGCGATCCCGGCTGAATCGCCGAATTTCGATCGACGCGATCGAAATACCGTCGAGAGCGAGAAGGCGCGAAGTCGCCTTTCAGGCGGTGAATTTCGGAAGATCGGCTGAAACCACTACTCGTACTTAAATAGAGAAAAAGATATCCTAAAGTTTAATGAAATCTCTTTGATTGAAACAAATTAGTCTTTTGGAATGGAGAGCACACTGAGAATATCCATTTAGTTGGCTCGAGCAATTTGCTTATTACAGAACACTTAGAAAGGACACACATTGTCGTCTCGTTGTTGCCGTCGATTGTAAATACGGACAGATTACGCGAAGCTACGCTGCGCCTTGCGCTCTTTCTCTTTCTCTCTCTCTCTCTCTCTTTCTTATCACGTTTTGCACAATTCGCCATGTAAACTGTCACCCTTTCTTTCATCTCCTTTCTGTATATATGTGTGTGTATGTCTCTAATTAGTCTACGTGGCTACTTTTACTTGACGAGTATCGACAAGACGACAAGCGGAGATTCTCTCGGCTATTATTACGATTGTCCTGTGCGTCCCGAGACTCTTTGATCCTCTTTTCAGCTCCCGCCTTGTCTGACTCGTGATAAAATTTCTATCTACTTCTGCTCCCAGCAACCTCGGTAGTTATTCATGACATTTCAATCTTATAGCGACGAGCGTAGGATAATAATAAACGAAGCTCGAAGGATTGCTCTGACGTATTAATATTGCACTTCCTCCCTGTTATTGTGAGAACGGCAATAAAATGTTTCTCCTGTACATGCAACTAACTTAATTAGTGAGATGTATTTTGCAAAATTTCAGATTTCAGCTTTCCAAAAGCGCTCTGCATCGACTCAATTTTACATGTCGCGAAAACGAGTTTGCGCGATTTATCGGCCGATTAACTTTTTTCTGCGGATTAAGTATCTTTCAATGTCCACTCTGGGCTTTTACGCGTGTCTCGTCTAGTCCAGGAGTTTGTTTCGACGTCGCTGTTGATCGATAAGTAAGCGAGTGTACTCTGATTGCCGTATCACGTGAAGGTAGATGATTGCGCGGACGGTATATACTCGCGATCAAAGTCGTGCAAACATTTGACAGCATTAATGGATATACAGGATCCATAAATGGCGAAAGTACACAAAGCCATTCGCGGAGTTTTCGCCAGCTGTCGGGTCACGGTAATCGTGCGATTATAATTTGATTGTCACATAACATCGCGTCTCGGTATAAAACAACGATGAGGAAATCGATAGAAGTTCCGCACGAAAGTATTTTTGTCTCCCGTTGAAACTTTATCTAATCGGCAACTGAATATCGCTTGCAATGATGATTGCAATCTCCACATCATGTACGGAATTCTTATGAAAAGATAATAATTTACGAATCACTTTCTCTGTACGCGCGCGTGCGCGTATGTGTGTGTGTGAAGTAGTTAAAATGAATATAAGCCATAATTCTCACCGTTCTTCGAGAGAAAGAGATCTCGGTGTTCAATTTTTCAACTTGCCGAAGCGATTAACTATGTAATTCGATTTGCGGCCAGTCTATCGGACACTCGGGCGTCACAGCGGCAGAGCTAGAGCTTAATCGACATTCAACACTTGCAATAATCGAGGAGGCCGACGTACCGAAAGTGGGTCGACCCATTTCATCCGCAGGTACGATCGCGGAACTTCCAATCGCGTTCCTTTGTACGAACGAATCGCAAACAAGGTCTCTCCCGGTGCTTCCTCCGGGATAAACAGTCGTCGTCGACGGTGATCAGCCGGTCGTTCGAACAGACATTTCGCGTGCCGATGCGACTCGCTGTCGATCCGCTCGGTTTTTTTTTTCGGGCTCGCGCCACCTGGAAGAAATGGAACGAAAAATTTCGGGATTTTGTTATCGGAGCATTGACACGCGTTGAATTCTTTCACGGGCGATACTGATCGATGAACGTGACCCACAAACGAAATGAAACGAGGAATCGACGTCCCTTTGCGCTTCCACCGGAGTATCGGAGTCAACAACGTTGTACAGCGCGAACGAGAGGGCGGGGAGACAGAGAGAAGCTTGACTTGACTGAAAAGAGCCAAGCTGCTTGACCCTTTAACGTCGTGTGCAAGCTTATTTTTTTATGCATTACTCTCTCGTCAGTTCGATACGTTCCATGAATCTTTTCTTTTACGGCTGAGCGCTCCCTACCTCGAAAGAGTCACTGTTCTTAAATTATTATCTGAAACCGATCGTATGCTCTTATTTATTCTTAATTGTTTACCTGTCTTCCTTGCGATTCGCTTTTTTCAGACATGCCGAAATTAACGAGCGGTCGTGCGACTTTTCGTCGATTTCTATCGTTCAGCGTGTTCGAATTATCACGAATCGTAACTTCAGAGAAGCGACTGATAGCAAGAGAGGCAAAAGGAATTAACCAAATTGACTAAATTTCAGTTGTACTATATAGACAGCTAATTTTCACCTGTGAGATCTAGTTTCTTTAGCTATGAGAACTATTTCTTTTTTCCCGTGAGCGCGACATAAAATTTATATATCGATAAAGTATGCAGCAGACAAGATGCTCTCAATTTTGGAGTAGACGTAAAACTTGCAGCGTTTGAAAGATCGAGCGTGGCACGACAAGGAAAATGCGCGAGACATTATCGTGTGTCCCAAGGTGGATATTTACACGTGAGTCCACAGTCTGCTTCTTCGGGAGGAGAAGAAGAACTGAAAAAAAAGAAGAGAACTGCCGAAACTTCCGGAGCACCACCGCCACGCGTCCTAACACGCGTATTTTTATATTCCAGCTTATTTTCTTAAAGGTTTCCGACCCTACCGCGACTTATCTCGCTCAGCCCATCTCGACAAATATACCACGAGATAATTTCTATCAAGAATAACCCGCAGCAGGGGCTGCGTTGAGGCTTCCCAAGTCGCACGACCCAACATGTGACAATCTGAAAACTCAGAACGAGTTTGAGTTGAGTGAAATTAAACAGATCGTTCAATCGTATCGTTTGATGACATACGAGAAGTATCGCGATCGCAAACTTTTAACTTCTAACCTTTTATGGCAGATTCATTTTAGTAGAGGATAGTTTTATTCTTTTTCTCCTTTTTCAACGCAAAACATCAAACAGAAAGAACAATTACATCAATACCGTCGCTATTCTCACGACCGCCGAGATCGACTTCCACACTGAAAATGGAATTCGGCAACTGCTATTAAATATAGAGGGTAAATAGTGCGGGCCAAGCATGGAGTAATTATTAGAAGATAATTTAATTGGATAAAATAGATACATAATTCCGAGAGCCAAAATTTAGCCGCTTGAACTATTGCATTTAGGTCAAACTAAGTTACCAAATGTCGTCGAGATATTAATTTTCAAAATTTAGTTCACTAACATAAATGTATAATTCAAGCAACTAAATCTTACTTCTTGGAGATAAATATTTACTTTTTTCGACCAAATTATTTCGTAACTAGTGACTAGACACTCGACCCGCATTATTTAACGCCATACACTTGATAACAAGTATCAACATTTGATATGTGTCGGCCAACTGTTTGATCACTGCAATCAAATAATTCTCTATATTGCATATATCGCAATTGAATTGTATATATCGCAATTGTATATTCTCAAATTATTTGGCCGCAGTAATCAAACGTTTGGTCGGCATATATCAACCGAATTTTGGTATTTGTTGCCAAACCTTTTTTTCAGTACAGGCAAGAAGAAAATTCAATCAATCAGATCGTATCCGCGAGGATTTTGAACGAGCGATCGCGGATGAAGCTTGTAATTATTATTCACGCGTCTCAGAATGTGTTCCGTTGATTTCCGTCTCAGACGCTACAAGATCCGTGCTCGTCCGCGCTCATTAATCTGCCCCGCATCGAAAAGCCCGTTTTATCGCGGATGCGACGTTACCCCTCCCGTGTAATTCCAGCCGAGCGTATTTTGCGCGTTTATAACGAGCTGACTGGCGCATCGGAGCGCGCCTCGCCGCCTCGAGGGAGGTCTGGCGCAAAACTGGGTTGCGCTACTTCGGCACCGAGGGACTAACAACCCGGCGTGCGGCTCACACGCACTGCTCTCGGATGTGTTAATGATCTGCCCGTGGGGTCGGCTCGCTTCGCGAGGACACTCTGTGACACACGTCTTGCAAAATTGTGCCCCGTTCTTTCGCGAGGGCGAAGTCGGAATTTCGCGGCGCGTTCTTCATCCGGCAATTCGATGTCGCGTCTGCGGGCTCGCACGAGAAAGATCCTTCTTCCCTCTTCGATGGTAAAATTCGCATTTTTACATAATAATAAATAATCTCCGACTTGACGTTTCGTAATTCCATGTATCCACTGTACTAACTACGCCTCAATCGATATTGACATCTCTCGGCGATCAAGCTCGAAGAGTCTCGGATTTTTCTCTCTCTGAACTTCGTCGGGAAAATGAGGCAGTTCGAGGCACACACGAATATAGTTTTAAAATTTTATAAAAAAGAAAATTTCCTCCCAATGTTCCGCGGATTTCTGTCCCCAGGATGCGACAAGTCGTCTGGAAAAACTCATGCGCGTTCGGTTAAAATCAACCACATTCACCATTTTCCGCAAAGAAGATAAGAAACCAAAAAAAAAGAAAAATCCGTGACAAAATTGGGGAAAAACGGATTTTTCCGAAACTTGAAGATCAAACAGGCGCGAGCAGGTGATGCGCCTTGTTTAAAGCGCCGCGCATACGAGCACGCCGTTTCCGCGCACACGTGTGCACAACGCGTGCACCACGTCGTCCCGGGGGAGAAGACGAACGAGCGAACAAACGAAGGGGGACGGCGGCCGATGAAACTCAGTCGTCGGATGCGTGCCTGTCGAGTGTCGTCGCGATTAATCGGGTTACCGGGGCAGGCGGGCTACCCGCGCCAACATTTTTAAGGGCTCCGAGTCGGGTTATCGCGCACGCAGCTCCTCGTATTATTATCACGTCCTCTCCGCCCTTCGCCGAAAGGCCTCCTCGTAGAAAGGGCTTTTTTCACCTCGCACGCTTCACGAGCGCGTCACGTCGGCGATGATTTCATCGCCGCATAAAATAACGCGACATTAATTCCGGACACGGTCGCTTTTGTTAATGAATTGCTAACTATCGGATTATCGTAATAATATATAGCAATTACATGATTGTTGGCCGTATAATGATACGGCGGGATTATGCAATCGATTTGCATCGTGCGTTCGCGAACAGTCGTTCGTTCGTCACCCTATAGTAGTGCTGCGGCTATGCGAAGCGGGTCTCGCAACTCTTCATCGGAAAGACGATTCACCAGGACATTCTTCTCGGCGGGGAGGAGCCACTTTCGGAGCACCATCCGGCGTTTCGCTCTCTCGCCTTCACTGAGCATCTCTCTCTTTTTCTCTCTCCTCCTCCGGAGAATAGATCGCACGCTCACGTTTTTCGCGCACAGCAAGAATGCCGTTGTGCGATTTCGGACCTGACGGGGCCTTTTAAGAACGAGTCCATTATCACGGCGGCATCACCACCTCGTTAACGGCCGGAACCCGTTTCACACACACACACACACACACAGAAAGAGAGAGAGAGAGAGGAATCCCTATTCTCTCGTCTTCCAGGAGTACGTGAATCGATACCACGGGCAGAAGATGGGCGCCCTGGAGCCGCACGTGTTTGCTTTGGCAGAGGCGGCGTACTGGTCCCTGCAGGACACGGAGAGCAACCAGTCCTGCGTGATATCAGGCGAGAGCGGGGCCGGCAAGACCGAGACCACCAAGTTCATCCTGCAGTACCTGTGCTCGGTGACCAGCAACGTCGACACGTGGGTGGAGCAGCAGATCCTCGAGGCGAACACCATCCTCGAGGCCTTCGGTAATGAAATTTGTTAACCGTTCCGCTGATAAAAGCTGGCCGTCAACATTTGTCCATGCGGTCTCGAGGACGCGCCGCTCTTCCGGCATACCGAAATCTCGCTTCGTTCCCGCGAGGAAGATTAGCCGTTATCGCGCGGACCTCCGGCCTAAAAAGCGCGCGCTGTTCGCTTTATATCGCGTGACGGCGATTTAACAATAAGAATTGCATCGCGAATTCACGCTAATTGGATGACGTAACGATTCGCGTGCTGGACGAGGAGATACGGAGAGAGTTACGCGCGCGTGTTTCATTCGCGGAATTTCAGATTCTCTCTTCGGGAAGAAACTCAATTTGTCTTAATTCTCGACATAATATTTACGGTACTTTTCGACACACCCATGCAATTGCGTTAAACTAACACTAAAATTTTGGTGAACCGTTTGGAACGCACGAAATGTGTTAAATTTGACAATTTTTTCATTGATGGTAAATACGAGGACGCGACGAATTATTTCGGGAAGGATTGGACTTCGTCCCGTCGTAACAAGTGTCACACGCGAGCGAAACGAGAATCAACGCTGTATCGAAACCGAGAGAGAAGCGCGATCGCCGCGGGGTCAATAAAAAATAGATTCCGATCCAACGGTCCCGAGAGCTGCACAGCCGCGGATTCGTCATCGGAGGCTCGACGCGAGCGCGCGGCAACTCAGGTGTTAAATGCATTGGCGAGGGGACGACGAAGAAGTGGGTCACTGGGGAACGAGGTTTTGTGAATAAAACACGCGCCCCACCGACGTCGTTCATTCATCTGCATAAAAGAAACAGTCTTTCGGTCGCAGTGTTATTTTCGACGCGACGTCCAATCTTAGCTGCCTGTCTCCGCGTCCGTTTCTTATACCTATACTAGGGAAAGATCCGATGAAATCCGAGAATCCAATCTCCCGGTGTCTCGTGTTTCCAGCAAGCCGATATTTTCCCCCTCGGACACGCGCGTGTCGTAAAGGAACATTGGAGAGACGCGTCAAACGGCCGAGAAGCCGTTCGGCGAGACTTCCTTCGTCGTGTTTTTTTACAAGAGCTTTTAGTCGCACCTTCCGAGGAAGGCGCGATCTTTCATACGTGACGCGAGCTTCCCCTCCCCCGCCCCCATGATCGACAATAGCAGGAGCGTCGATTAACCGTAGAAACTCGATCTGCGAAAAAAACAAACAGGCAACGCGAAGACCGTGAGGAACGACAACAGCTCGCGATTCGGCAAGTTCATGCAGGTGTGCTTCGACAGTAAGTGGATGATCAAGGGATGCATCATCCAGGACTACCTGCTTGAGCAGAGTCGCATCACCTTCCAGAGCCCCGGCGAGCGCAATTACCACGTGTTCTATCAGCTGGTCGAGGCCGGCACCAGGGACAAGGAATTCGCCGAACAATATAAGTTGCAGCCGGCCGACCACTACAAATATCTCAATCAGTCGGGCTGCGTGAAGATCGACGGAATTTCCGACTCCAAGAAACTCGACGCCCTCAGGCTCGCCTTCAATGTGCTCCAGGTAAAGTTCGATATATCGCCGCTGCTTCTCGAGAAGAGAAATTCTCAACATTCCATGCTCATTCCTGTCGCGTTATGATCGAGTAATTATACATCGCGCGTGTGTGTATGTAGGTCGCGCCGGAAATGTGCGAGGGTATCTTTCGGGTTCTGTCGGCTATCCTATGGCTAGGGAACTTGAGTTTCGAGGATGTCGACGGGGAGAGATGCGAGCTTTCGAAGGAGGACAGCAACATAGTCGACACAGTGGCACCGTTGTTGGGCATGCAGGTGGAGGATCTCACCAAGGTGGTGTTGATACGGCAGATAAACGTGCGCGGCAACATCACGGAGATCCCACTGAAAGTGCAGGAAGCCAGGGAAAACAGGCACGCGATGGCGAAGGCGCTCTACTCGCGCACCTTCGCCTGGCTCATCAATCACATCAACAACTGCACGAACCCGGGCCAGGACAGCTCCCGGTTCCTCGGAGTGCTTGACATTTTCGGCTTCGAGAACTTCGCGTTGAACAGCTTCGAGCAGCTCTGCATCAATTACACGAACGAGAAGCTGCACAAGTTCTTCAACCACTATGTCTTCGCGCTGGAGCAAGAACTCGTAAGTTACCTTACCCTCGGAATTTCCCGGAGCGAAGTCTCATCTAAAACAAATAAATATTCACTAAATAAACGATTATAATTGCATAACAGAATGAGGTACTAATGAAAACAGTCATTAATGGAATGGAATAGTAAGGATATGAATATTTAACTGAAACCTAGATTCTTAATTTAAACAATTTAAAGACATTATTACAAGCTTTTGATTAGCTTAAAACGTTATCTTTATTATATATTTATACAGGGTACTTTCGGGACATCCTGTGTATTTTCTCTCTCTCTCTCTCTCTCTCACTTGAATGATATATATATAAATAAAATTATATTTGATATGCCAAAGAGATGATTTCCCGTTCTTCAACCACTATGTCTTCGATAGATAAATAAAAAAAAAAATAGGGGATTCACTCCAGACGAATGGAAGTTCGCTGGAACTCGAGAGAGACGCGACTGTCGCTTCGCACCTCTCGCGCGGAATTTCACTGAAAGAAATTTCGAAAGCACATTCGTGCATTTGTCGATCGGACGAGCGGCCGACGTACAGTCGACGACAGCGGAGAGACACGTCAGACGGTGAATTTACTTTTCAGTATCGCCAAGAGGAAATTCAATATTCCCACATCACGTTCACGGACAACACCATGTGCCTAGAACTGATCGAGAAGCCCCCGCGATGTGTTCTTAAATTACTGACCGAGCAATGCCATATGCCGAAGGGCTCCGACCTAGCCTACCTGACGAACCTGCACGCGGAATTCGAGAACCATCCGTGCTACGTGAAGGGAGACGACCGGCGGAAGTGGGAGAAGGAGTTCGGGGTGAAGCATTACGCCGGTTGTGTGACGTACACCGTCGAGGGCTTCGTCGACAAGAACAGGGACGTGCAGCAGGACGTCTTCTTCGACTTCATGTCCAGGAGCACCAACGAATTCGTGCAGGAGATCACCGTCTACCAGGATTTACTGGGCTGCACTGTTGGGCGCGCGACCGGCGGCGCCACCACCACCACGATGTCCCGCGGCACTTCCAAGGGCAAGCCGACCTTGTGCGACTCCTTTCGACATCAGCTGCAGGCCCTGGTGGACGTGCTGCAGGCCACTACGCCGTGGTACGCGCGTTGCATCAAGCCGAACATGGAGAAGACGGCTAACCACTACGACGAGAAACTGGTGTTGGACCAGCTCAAGTACCTCGGCATGTTGGACATCATTCGCATACGCAAGGAAGGTTTCCCGATACACATGTCGTTCCACGACTTCGTCGCGCGATACTGTTGCCTGGACAAGAATCGATTCTCGCTGGTCTGCGACGAGAAGGAGGCGACCAAGCACTTGATCGCCAGCCAGGGCATACCGCAGACCGAGTGGCAGATCGGCCGGACCAAAGTGTTCCTCAGGAACTACGTGCACGAGCCTCTCGAGGATTCCAGGAACAAAATGGTGACCAGCAACGCCATCGTGATACAGAAGACCTGGAGAGGATACGTGAAACGACGAGGTACCGACTCTCCCACGAATTTCCCCGACACCTTGCATTTCTCTCACTGTATGGTGTTATCGTGTTCCGACAGAGTATAAGCGTGTAAGAGAAGCGGCGCTGAAGGTGCAGCACGCTTACCGGGGCTGGAAGTTGCGGATAATGTTCATCAGGAAGCGCAGAGCCGCCATCGTGATCCAGAGTCACCTGCGGGGCGTGTTCGCGAGGGAGGTGGCCGCGGCCCTGCGTGAAATGAGGCGAGTCGACGAGGAAATGAGAAAGAGGGAGCGGCTGGAGGAGGAACGAAGACTGATGGAGGACAAGAAGGCTCTGGAGGAGAGCCAGAGGTAAGGGAGACCCGGATTGCCCGCCGGTGCGATTTTCTTCGAGCGTTTCGCGTTTGGCCGACCTCGTTCGACGGCGCCCGCGTAAGATAACCGTTTTAGGTATGCGTGCGATCGATTGTGCGTTAATGTGCTTTCCGTTTGTGTCCCTTGTAGCGCGCAGTACAATGGTATTATCGGGATGGAATCCGGGTAAGTTCTCGACGGAAGCTCATTTTCGACGGGCTGCACGAGGCATGCATTCGTTGCATGTTGAGTGTATCATCGCGTAGTACCTTGGCGAGCATTATCGCTTCCTAGTCTCTCACACACGGCCGTAAAGGTTTGCCCGAGACCTACCGAGGCCACCTTTTATCTCCTCGATCTTTTCACGAAGTCCCTCTGACATTTTTCAAGAAAGAAATCTCTCCGGAGCTCTGAATCGGTCGATGGGGGCTCACCAGGTCCGGGTGTCACTTTGCATACATCGAAACACTGACCACGTCTTTAAGCGTTGCGTCATACTCACTATATGTTACTAAATAGCGCAGCAGAATTACGCGAAGTTCACCGTTTAGTCGTAGCACCCGCACTCGCAAGAAGACCGGCGACTTGTGATCGAGGAGCTGGCAGTAATCCTCTGTGAAAATTACAGGAAGGCTCAGGAAGAGATCGCCGCGTTGTCGCAGATGGCCGAGCAGATGAACTCGAAGATGGCCGCCACGGATCTGCAATCGGTGGATCTCGACAATCTGTTCTCCTTCTTGTCGGACGTGCAGTCGACCAAGAGCAATCAGATCATCGACGAGATCGGCGAGCGGATGGACGAGCTGGTGGAAGACCTGGACGTCGAGTTGGAGACTGTGATCCAGCAAGAGATAGAATTAAACGCCAAGGCCGAGTCGAAGGTGACGTCTCCCAACGGGCAGCAAGAGCTGTCTCCGCAGCAGCAACGTCTGCCCTGCGCGAACAGCATGAGCAGCAGCAAGCTCGGCCAGCCCAGCCTGCCGGAGCCGACCGAACCTCCGCCACCGCCGCCGCCCCCGGCACCGCCGCTGATGAACGGCGGCGACTCCTCGAGCGACAACGGCGAGCCGATCTACGAGTCGGTGTTGCCGCGCGACGAGAACGAGCCCGGCAGTCCGATCAGCGCGGGACAGCTGGTGAACGGCGAGTCCAGCGCTTCTTCGCCACCACCCGTGCCGGGCGGCAAGATGAGCAAGGAGCAGCTCGCCGGCAGTCCTCCGTCCAGGCCGGAGTCTCGCAGCTCCAACGGTCATCATCATCACGCCCAGCATCATCATCATCACCAGACGGTGCCGCAGGCGCAGCAGAACGGCCACGATCAGCCGCAGCAGCAACAACAACAGCCGGTCGAGCAGCGCGAGCAGCGGCGCAAGTGCCGGGTGGAGCGCAAGCTGCAGGAGCTCGAGGACAAGAAGGAGCCGGACAACGAGGCGACCAACTACCACGACATCATGGAGTTCGCGCAGAACTACTTCAACAGCCACGAACGCTCGCCGGAGGGCACGATCATGGCCACGCTGACGAGGAAGTCGCGCGGCAAGAGCGTCGAGTACATCCCGAAGTACGAGATGGTCACCTACTACAAGGGGAGCAGCATCCCGAACTCCCACATTCACATGTACGATCCCGACAACGTGAATGTCGCCTGCTCCGTATTCAGGGTGAGTGATATCCACGTAACAAAGAGCAGTACTCTAACTTTCATTGAAGACGTAGAGCATATATTGATTTTCTGATGCGAATACGCGTGAGTCCGCGAGGATCTCTGATGGAAGTTCACCGACAAAAAGTATAAAGGGTAGTGGATAAAGGTCAAATGACACTTACCGGCCTTTCTATAATTATCGATAGTTAATTATCGAGGTTCACGCGAGTTTTTATCCACTCCCTCTTTCATACGCGAATTTTCCACGCGGTATTTCGGCGTTTCCTCCGACTTTTTCACATCGTTTTCCAGGACTTGTGCAAGTACATACGCGGCGAGATGAAGCTGGACCAGGAGATCCAGACGATCCAGGGCATTATCGCATACGGGATCGAGCGCGAGGAGCTGCGCGACGAGATCTTCGTGCAGTGCATCCGCCAGGCGACGAACAATCCCAACGCGGAGTGGGCGGAGCGCGTGTGGCTGCTGCTGTGCTTGGCGATCGTGGCGTTCCAGCCCAGCAAGCTCCTCTATAAGTACTTCGTCTCCTTCCTGAAGAAGAATATCGCTCTCGAGGGCAAATTGCGGCAGTACGTGCAGTGGTGCGTAGACAATTGCAAGAACACGAAGGTCTCCTGCAGGCAGCACCCGCCGTCGACGGTGGAGATCGCCGCCATGAGGCGCCTCGGCACCATAGTCTGTCGGTTCTTCTTCCTGGACGGCAGAACGAAGGCGATCGATGTGCACCCGACCGACACGGCCGCCGACGCGGTCGCGAAGCTCGGCGAGAAATTGGGTCTCCGCTCGTTGGAGGGCTGGGCCATCTATCAGAGCAGACCGGACGGAGAGGAACATGTGCGGGCTCACGATTACCTGTACGACGTGATCGCCGCGTGGGAGATGTAAGTTCGTCGATCGCGTCCTCCTGTCCGGGGCGTGTCACCGACTCTTTTCTCGTTACAGGAAACAGTGCAAATTGAACACGGCCCAGTCGTCATTCTCGACCTTGCGACGCGGTAACAACACCACCCTGGGCAGCGGCGACAATCGCTTCGTCTTCAAGCGACGATTGTTCCGCAACCCGCGCGAGATATCGCAGGATCCCGTCGAAGTTAACATGCTCTACGCACAGGCGGTCTACAACGTCGTGAAGGTACGCAAAGAGCAAGAGAAATACTTTATTAAGATGTAGCATAAATTTGTTTGATCTTGTAATATCACACTTTAATGGAAACAGTGGGATATCTTGAAAACGAAGCAATTGACAAAAAAATTAATCAAACAAAAGTTTTTCACACAAATCGATTCTTCTCTTTATTCTGCGTATTAAAGTACCAGAGTAAGATCATTGAAAGGTGAATATTTTTTTAGATATTTACTTTTTATTCTAATATTTTATATAATATGCTAGTCTCTCTCTCTCTCTCTCTCTCTCTTTCTCCCTTGTTTGAAGACTCAGGCTTTCGTTCTCATTTTTGTCATTTCGTTCGTTGTTCCTTCGTTTCCAGTGCGACGACTTCCCGGTGTCCGAGAAAGTGGCTCTGCAATTGGCCGGCCTGCAGGCGCAGGTGTCTCTGGGCGATCCCAAGGACAACGACAGGCTTGATTATTACAGCGAGGTGGACAGTTTCCTGCCTTACAGGATCAGCCGGGCACGTGGCGACGACGTCTGGGTGCCGATCATCGCCCAAGCGCACCGACAATACGGCGCCGGACGTAAGGAACTGGCGGCCAAGGTCCTGTATCTGTCCTGTGTGATGCAGTATCCTCTCTACGGCACGACCATGTTCAACGTGACCTATCGTGGCTACTGGTCCTACGGCAACCAGCTGATCCTGGGTATCAACTGCGACGGTCTCATGCTGATCAAGCCGGACGACAAGTTCGTCTTATCAGAGTACCGTTACCAGGATGTCGAGAGCATCATGCTCGACCCGAGCGACTCTTTCATCACGCTCTCGCTGCTGCGACACAATCCCGACAGTTCGCACAAGTGCTTCGTCTTCGAGACTCCGCAGAAGAACGAGATTGGCAGCCTGATCGTCAGCTACTGTCCGGCGCTGGCGGGTTGGATCACGGAGAACGAGGTGCCGACGAAGAAGCTGAAGGGCATCACCAACGAAGATCGCATCAGGCTCTACCACAATCTGGTCAACTGCCGGCGAACATTGGTGGACACGGAGCTCCTGAGGAAACCTCAGGACTCCGGCGGCGGTTTCCTGCGCAACACGCTCAGACGACTGTCCAAGCACAGGATAGAGAAGCTCAGGCAGGAGCACGGGAGCGCCGACCATGGGGAGACCTACAAGGGCTTCCCTTACGCTTACTGGGCCTTCAGCCGGCAACAGATACCGCAGAGCTTGGCGAAGCTGCCCGATCCCGACGAGCAGATGGCACTGAGCATCTTTCAGTTGATCCTGACGTACGCGGGACTCGGTCAGAACGGCGACACGGTGCGCCGTGTCGAGGACGAGCACGTGAATCTGATCCAGACCGTGATGGAGCGCTGCATACGCAAGGAGAACCTCCTGGGCGAGCTGTACCTTCAATTGATCAAGCAAACGACCGACCATCCGGACCCCAACAGCCGCGTTAATCTCCGACACTGGGCGTTGCTGTCCCTCGCCTGCTCCGTCATCCTGCCGCCGCAGAAGGCCATTCGCAAGTACTTGATAGCCCACCTGAAGCGCTGCGCCAGCGACTACGTCACCGAGGAGGGCAAGTACGCGAGGTTCGCGGAGAAGTGTCTGTATAAAACGCAGGGCACCAGGCGACGGCAGTGGCCGCCGAGTCGCGAGGAGATCATGTGCACCATCAATCGTCGGCCGATCTACGCGAGATTCCACTTCATGGATGGCCAATACCACGCCGTCGAGTTTCATCCGTCCGCGACCGCCAGGGACGTCATGGAGATCATCAAGACCAAGATAGGACTCGAAGAGACCGCCATGGGTGCGCGTTGATCGTAGTTTGTCGCTGTGCATCACATTCATTTTCGCAGAAATTTCTCATTAATTACGTTGCACATTTCATTGTCATTTTATTCTACGTTCTCTCAACCGTGTGGATTTACTGTTGTGCCTCTGACGTCAGGTTATGCGATCTACGAGGTGTTAGGACCAACCGAGCGTTCACTGATCCCGGAGGAGAAGATAGCCGACGTCATGTCCAAGTGGGAACGCTTCCGAACGTCGCAGCAGAATCAGACGCAACGAAAGCACGCTCATCACTTCTTCCTATTTAAGAAACATCTCTTCTTGGACCAATACATGAACCTGGACGACCCCGTGGAGAAAGAGCTGCTGTATCATCAAGTGCTGCACGACTTGCGAGCCGATCGGTTCCCCATCACCGAGAAAGAAGCCGTGAGTCCCCTCGAGGCAATATGCTCGCACCTTTCTTTTCATCCCCACATCGTTACGTTAATCCCATGTCAAACCGGAGATCGAAGATTAGAACCCGACCAATCGAGACAAAGTCGATTCGTGTCTAATTTCTAATCCACGATCTCCAATATCCAGCCTGTCCCGGTCTATCGTTGCGTATCACGTCGACTCACGCGTTCACGCGATCACTCGCAGATGATGCTGACAGCTCTGCAGGCGCAGTTGGAAATGGGCGACTGCCTCGAGCAGGCCATAACGGAGCAAGATTACCGAACCATATCGAGCCACTGCCTACCGGCGCGACTGGTGCCGAGCCTGTGCGTGGAGGGTGTGCTCCAGCACCATCAATCCCTGCGCGGTATGACACCGCCTGAAGCGAAGAAGGCCTTCCTGAATCTGATTCAGTCGTGGCCGCTGCATCGCGCGACCATCTTCGACGTGATGCAGTCCTTCACCTCGAACTGGCCGCGCGTGCTGTGGCTGGCCGTTGATCAGCAAGGCCTCCACCTTCTCGAGCACCGCTCCAGAAACGCACTGTGCACCTATGAATACAGCAGTATTCTAAGCTACACCCCCGCCGTTAATTGCTTGATGATCATCACCGGCACCGACAAGAAGCAGAGCAAGGTCATCCTCACTACGTCGCAGGTAAGTGCCGGCACAGTCGACGGATTCACCTCAGTCGGCAGTCCCTGGCAAAGCGGGTTTTATTCTTTTCCTCCGTTCCTCTGGTCTCCAGACGAGGTTACTACAGTCTTGGGAAACCGGGAAAAGACATAGGAATTTTTATTGGTCAGGGAAAACCTAGAAGAGTCAGATATCGATTTCTTTAAATATTCTCGTCTTCTAAAAAGTATTTATAATTCTTTTTGTATTTTCTGTTTGCCTGAATTTCAACTGCATTCAGGATTATATTACGTTACTAAATTTCTATGTTTGTTTGTAATAATACAAACTATACCTTCAATTCCTGCTTTCAAACGTTAAAATTTACGATCGCCTATTAGTCAGGAAAAATTCTCCACTAGAAAACATGGAAGAGTCAGGGAAGTTGGAAATTCATTTTCTGTGACAACCCCATTAGCTTTCTCGAGACCGCTCATTCATTCCGATCTCGTCCCTTCCCCAGGCACATCAGATAGCGAATCTGATTCGCGAGTACATGGAAGTGCTGCAGTCGCCGCCGGAGATACCGCGAAGGGACTCGACGATGGCACAGCAGCTGGCTCAGCAGCACCCGCAACCGCCCGCAACTGTCCTACCGACGTCCGCCGGCGGACGCAAGTCCCGACCAGCTTCGGCGATGTTGCACAGAGGTGCTCCGGTGATCCAGTCGCAAGCTAGTTAGAATGCCAATTAGGTGACCCGCATTTCCAGAAACGACGACGACGACGATTTCCCTTTAACCTGGTACCCTAAGGTTCGAGTTCTCGTCGGGCGCGCACGTTCCATTGCCAAGTGCCATAAATCCCAGATACGCACAGCGCTACGCATGCGGTACTGTCTATTTTATCAAAAGAGAGAGAGAAAAGAAATACGCGCGACTATATATATGATATATATACATATATATATATACACACATCTATTACTGTACACTAACATTAATCTTCAATTACTGAGAACTCCGTCTTAACCCGTGCGACTCAAGTGCTCCCCTCTACATATAATTCTCTTAGCGTTACGTATTCTGAGATTCGAGCGCGCGGTAGGTTTCTGAGGTTTCAGTATCAAGTTGTGGCGAAAAAAAAAAGAGAATTAAAGGAAACGTCTGGCTCGCGTTAATGCGTCGCGCGTTTCTCAGCTGCTGAACGCAACTGCCTGTCGATATCGAATGGAAGATGTGCCGGGTAACTGGTAACTTTTCCCCTAGGACGGAAATGTTTTCGAATCGGGAAATTTATACTTATCACAAACTTAGAGCCAGAGAAGAAGATTCATGGTCAACCCTTGGGGAATCTTTTCCCGTAGAACTCGTAAAAAGTGCGAAGTTTCCTAATCTGAAAACATTTCACGTTTCCGCCCTAGGGGAAAGGGTGGAGCCGCGTTCAGCGGCTGAAACGCGCCCTTAGGTAGAAATATGAAGAATACGGAACAAAGTCTTGAATCAGTGATGCTCTTCTCGATCGGGCCTATCGAGCGATCGACGAGGCAATCGTCGTTTAAGGATGGCACTAGCCCTAGGGATACTTCTTTCTTCCATTATTTATTCAAGTTAGCTTAGACCTTGAAGTCGAGTCAAAGACTAGATTAATCTCCGCGATTAGCCGAGTTAGCGCAGCAAGTTGAGTGATAAATAACTGCCATTAGAAGTGTTACATTAAACCGCAGCGGGGGTGGGAAAAAAAAGATGAGAAGAAGAAGAAGACACGAGAAGTTGCCGAGGACTTTTTCTATTTCTATTGTGACCGTTATCATTGTTGCCTTTTTTATCGAGCGTCCGCCACCGTTTTTGATAACCATTTTTGCAGCAAACGAGGAAGCAAACGCGAGAACTATATTCACGGCGATATTCGACGATTTCGAGCGATCGATCATCCCGGCTTCGCGATCCCGAAGTCGCGTTATCCCACCATATCAATTGATGTCAAGACCGACGAGCGTGTTGACTAGCGTATCGACGAGCGTATCGACGCGAGGAACGAAAGTGGTATGGAAGAACCGCGCGATCACCCGATTACGAAAAGCGAGACCAAAAACTTCATCATCTCTCGAACGTGAACGTTCGATCGAACGTTGCCTGCCAAAATTGTTGTACACATACCTTCGAGACGATACAGTGCGGTGGCCAAGACTGTATAATATTCATCGATACTATAAATTCACGATGTATGCGTGTGTATGTATAATGCATATGTGTGTGTTCATGTGTGTGTGTATGTATGATGCATATGTGTACGTTCATGCACGTATACATGTGTGCGTGCGTGAGAGAATCTCCACCGATTACCTGCGGTGAGGAGCGCAACGAGAACCGCAGGATCATGACGCATGATATTATTTCGCGTGTCGAGAACGGAGACGGGAGCAACTCGCGCTACGTAGCGAGAAGAGAAGCTCTTTCGAGACGCTTATGTTTTTTGAGAAGAGAAGAAAAACGAAGATCTCGCAAACCTTTGGCCACCACTGTATCTCCCGAAATCGCGCGTCGAGAGGAAGAAAGCGGAGGTGACCGTTTTCTCTCCTTTGGAATCGATCCCGTTGAAGATCCTACACGTATTTAACCAACGGTGTATGTACCTTCCGCAAAAGTACCGCATTGTCCGTTGTTAAGCGACTCCCGTGTGACCCAGAGGCGGCTTGTATGTGAATGCCGCGATCGAAATCCGTATTTCGGGGAGCTGTTCGCTTCGCTAACGATAATCACGTAAAACGTAGCTTAAGATTACGGAGAACGTGCGTGTGCAACTGTGTACGCGCGGATTTCGCGCGAGAATCGCGAGTTAACTCATATATACGATGAGTAGTGGAACAAGTGTTCCGCGCACCGTCACTCTCGCGCGACCAAAGAACGCGGCTGAGATGCTTATCGACAAGTAATATCGCTTTCATTTCCGGCACACACGTTCGAACGAACACGCGCTTCGCGATGACTTAATCGGCTTCACGGCGACATTTGCGGAAAAATATCCCGCGAGAGAATTCGGCGTGTGCGAACACTTGTCTCACTCGTTGCATCTAAGACAACCGTAAAACGAGTCGACCGAACCTTCGTTCTTCAGACAATCCTCCCGATATCGTCGCTTTCTTCGTATAAAGTTAATCACTATCGCTAAATTCTAGAGAAAGAAAGAAAGGGAGAAATATAAGTAAAGAAAAAATGAGAGAAAAGAAGAGTGGAGTGTGACAGCGGAGTGGAGTGAGACGCGTATATTTGTTGGTAACACACGCGGAAATTGCGTCCAACCACACACTTCAGTTTCCGGAAACGAAAGAGAGAGGAGCGAAAATAATGCTCGGGAAACATCGTTCGCGCGCGCGCGCGCGCGCGCGCGTGTGTGTGTGTGTGTGTGTGTGTGTGTAAATATATCGAGACGTTTATCGCGCGAAAAGCGACAAGCTTAAATTATAAACTTTTTGTAAGCGAAAATATGTGGACGAGTTCCGCACAAGTATCCCCGGTGTTCAATGGTTTCTCCATTCGCGCAAGGTGCGATATTATTGCGCTCGAGTAACACGATCGACGAAATCAGCACGAGATCCTTCCGGTCTCTTGCCTGAGATTTTCGCCACGATGAAACTCCCGCGAGGGGACTCACGCGTTGCCCTTATTACTCACATAGCTCTCGATGGTGAGAGAGAGAGAGAGAGAGAACAATGCTGCCGATTTCTTATCGATTTACATTCATCAGTTCCGATTTCAACCGGCGGACCGGCATTGATAGCCTTAACACGCGGTACGATCAGCCATGCCGGTGTGTTTTCTAAACGTATATATACATTTCTTTCTAGATATTGACGAGAAGCCGATCTCTCGCGGCTAAAATTGTGAAACGTATGTTCTCGGCTTTGCCGGCGAGATCAGCGAGATCGATTCGCGCCAATTTGAGACACGCCAACAAGAGCCGACCGGCTAGTCGGCTTTGACGATATTGAGTGACCATTGAATTCCTCAAGAACAGAATTTCGGACGGATCGCCGAGGCAGAAAAACGCGGTTTCATCGCGACGAGAACGAAGAGGTAGTGAGAGAAAGGGAGGGAATGAATTCCGTTAATTCTCGTTTCCATTTGAAAGTCTTTTGGCGGAACCTCGACCGTATACAGAGAGATAGACTGTGATCCGCTTTGGGAGAGTTCTTTAGTCTTCGAGAGCTGTTTAATTGAGTGAGACTACTATGTTTCGTGTTATCGTACATGTATGCGTGACTTGGTGAATGCGGTGTCACCTTTCATGAATAAAAGAACGTGAATTCGATGAATCTTCCATCTTCCCCGGAACAGTTCAACATGAAAGCCGAAGTTATATGTAGGAAGAATTACCGAACGTATCTCATCGGGAAATGTAATATTTGTTTGCAGTACGTTGCGAGGGAGCACTTTGTAACGATGGTTTTATCTTCAGGACGGGATTATCTCAGATGAGACGATCGTGATTAGTTAAATACGCTTTTTATTCATTATCGGCGACACGTCTGTACATGTGCGCGCGCCCTGAGGGCGCGAAGCGATACCAAAACGATTTCGGAGGGAGGCCTGAGGAAGTAAGAGATCTCTCGCGACTTAATTCCTCAGGCGTCCGGATAAGAAACGAAGGCCGAAAGATGCCCGAAGGGAGATTTGAACAACTCAGCTCGGACGAACGTTTGTTCTCTCAACGTTCCTCACGCGTCCTTCAGGCTCGAACTTTTTCTCCTGGAATTGGACTTTTCAGTCAAGTTTCAAGAGGGCGTCCTCAGACTTCGGGCGTCTTTCGAACTTTTGCTCGGGCGTGTATGTGCGAGAGGAAAAGAAAGGAGAGAGCGCGAGAGAGAGAGAGAGAGAGAGAGAGTGTGATCATAACGAGTGTGATTAATCATAAGAGCGATACACGCGTGCATGCATGTTACTTAAGTTAAGTGACGGCGCGCTCCGTGCCGTACACGTAGCTTCTAAGTGAAATAAGTTATTGGTTGATGATGTTATTGCAAAAAAAATATATATATATGAACAAAAGTGACGCTGTATATATAAATATATACATATAACACTATATATACATAGGTAGACGAGCTCGCGAACGCGCACGAGCGTTTCAGAAAACGGCCGCGCACACAAGTGGGTGTGGAGAACCAGCGCGTAACGTTACACTGCTGCGAATGCAAGAGGGATTCGCACCTACGTATTATATAGAAAAATATACATACGTATTATATATATATATATATATATATATGAATAAAAAAATATATATATACATACACACGCCACACGTGTCATTATGTGTTCCAAACAGTGCGCAAGGATACGACAAAGGAGAGGCGAGAGGCTTTGATGTAGGCTCCACTTTTGCGCGAGCGGACTCCCGTCGAGGGACAGTCGGCGGGGCGAAAGGATCAAACGACCGGACGACGACGCAGTCGTCTGTATCTTTTTTTTTCTCGATTTTTTCTCTCTCTTTTATTTGTGATTCTTTAGACAATAATCAGACAAGTAACAGTGTTCACTCGTTCTTAGCGATTGCCCGTGTAATTGCTTGCGCGATACGAGCCAGTTTCTCGGTTGCCAGTATCTCACACTTGGCTTTATTACAACATGTAGATGTATGTATATAACTTTACAGTTATATGCATATACAGCTCTATGCAGCTCTCTCTCTCTCTCTCTCTCTCTCTCTGGCGTCTAATTCTACTGCAGCTTCGTCGTGACCGCGACACCGAGGAAGCCAAATCGGGACAGCAAAAACAGAGGCAATCATTCGTGCACGCGTACGTTTATCTTCCTTCTTCTTCCTCCAACTCTTCTTTTACGTTAAACAATATTAATAATCATAATAATAATGACAACAGTAATAATAGCGATAGTAAAAAGAACAACAATAATGTTCACGATGTCGCGAAAAATAGTCGGTGGACGATGAAACAGCGTGATAACGATAACGATCGGTATTATGGTGGTAAGTAATCGTCTATTATTTGGATATCGACCAGGTATATAGACGCGGATAGTTGCGTTTCGTTCGTCATCTCTCTCTCTCTCTCTCTCTCTCTCTTTCCTCCCGTACTCTTCTCTCTTTGATTAAGCCTTCGTTATTATATCTCCGACCGTTCATCCAT